TTATAAAGTTTAAAGAATGCATATTTACCCAAAGTGCTGTTCGTGACTCTGATCCCAAAAGACCAAAGCACTTTTGGCGATTGTTTTTAGCCTAATAAAAACAATTGAATATTTTGATCTTTACAATCCGTTGAATTGAATGACGATGACGACGATGGAGACAAACACCACATGCTAAAATGTGTCTGCGATTCAGAACGTGCTCCTCTTTAAATGACGTCATGCGTTTCCAGGCCAATAAAACTCATCATCTGGAATGAACTAAGCAACCATTGCTTTTTGCAATCCTTTAAAAAGGGTGTAAAAAAATTGATGGATGGATAATCACTTTCGCTGACGACCTAAATAAACTGAACAGCCAGGTTGTCTCGTCGCTCTCCCAGGTGACAATGCTAGGATACATCAGAAATTCTCGTAAATTACCCAAACTGTTGACCACCGAGAACAATCAAACACAAATTTTCTCTTCACACACAATACAAAGCAAAATTCTGACAGATGTCACAAAACATGTTTCATTTGCTTGAGTTCTCTGGACATTTTAGGTGCATAAAAGCTAACGTGTCTTCTCTACTTTAAAGCCAAGTCATTCTTATGTGTGCAGATCACAGCGCTTGCTGTTCTTCATTGCGAAAAAAGAAAAAGACGATGCCACTTAAAGGGCTGAACCAAACCCGCTGCACCCCGTCTGTCACGTGATCAGACAGATCATTTGGACAGTCAAAGGCGTCAAGCGCCGCATTTTCAACAAAACCTTCCAGCTTAGCCAATCACAGGCAGCCTTTGTCTCACGGAAAGAGTTCTGTGCGTTTGTGAATATGGACGGAAAATACAGAAGAGGTTCAGTGTCAATGCAGCTTTCCAGTTTTTCTTCTTCTTTGTGAAATGTGTGAGTATCAAGTGTCTCTCTGAGTCTGTATGTTTTGCATGTGTTGTTTTACAGGAAAGCTAATGAGATTTTATAACTATGTGGAGGAAATTACCAACCGCCACATGGCGCCCAAATTAGATTTTTGCAATCCTTTAAAAAGTTTTTGCTCCTTTTACATATATTGGGAGCTATTTTGCTTCTTTTCCTTGTCTGATCACATCAATATGTAGACGATCATATTGTGTTTTCTAAGAAAAAAAAAGAAACAGAAAACACCAATCCAATGTAGAAAAATAAATTTCAGGTTTTTATGCCTGAGTACAATTTTATTTATTTTGAACTGTTTCTCTCATTTTTCTAATTGCTAAAAGTAAAAAATAAATAAATTAAAAAAATTAGTTATATGCTTCTGCTTTAGTGTAACAAATGGACACACATTTTTTTTTTTTTTTTGCTTGATTAACTGCTGATGTTGAAGTGGCTTTAGGAAGATTTATGATTTTAGTGTTATGACAGACACTGTTTCCCTTCCAGTAAATCCCACTTTTTCCCAGTCAGTCCATGAAAAATATTGTATTACGCCACGTTCACATCAAAGCTTTGGGGATCGTCATGTTCTTCTGTTTCAGAAACTCAGTCTCTTTATTGCTGAATCATGAACATGGATGGCAGCGGAGGTCAGCGAGGCTTGGGCTGCTTTCAATGTTGACATGTGCTAATCTCAGAGCTAATTCTTTACTAGTGTCTTACTGTTTTTGCCCACTTTGAAAACATTTAAAGCCCTAGACAGGTGACCGGTCCATCAAAAATATTTCACTTTCATTAAAAAAAAAAAATCTGTTTTTAAAATTTATTTTAAAACTGCATCCGTGTTGTAGCAGTATCTTATGAGACCAGTAATCTGTAAAAAAAACAGATGGAGCAAAAACCAAATTAAACGCCATCATCAGTGGCTATGCTAACTAGCCTTAGCACTAACAACAGACTCTGCTAACTGGAGCGATGCAGAGAGTAAGGAGTCGAGGTGAGCAGAGGGACCAGCTGTGCCAGATTGATGGTGATTGCCAGCGCTATGACCCGCCTCCTGCGTCTGATTGGTTGGTTCTTTATAGCAGTGAGAGAAGGCAGAGGAGGTTGATTTTAAAAATGTTTTTTTTCTCACCAATTAACTATCTCATAGTGAATCATCATCAACACTTAAAACTGGTGATGTGTGTATAGCTTTTATATATATAAAAAAAATAAAAGCTACATACTGCAGTTTAACAGAGATATTAAATTAAGATAACAAAATATGAAGATTAGCTTTTCGTTGTGGATATTTGAAGGTCTGAATATGACGTATTGCTAAAAATTTATTACAAGTAATAGTAAAAAAAACTTAAGATAAAAAAAAATCTGTTTCTATGGCATAACGTGATCATAGTGATACTGTCCAAATTTGTTGGGATCCAAATTTTTCAATATAAAAAAATTGACATTCTTCCAGAAGAGACTTCTATCATAACAATCCAAAAAACAGATACTCCACCTGTGCTACGCTACAGCAAAGGACATTTTTTCTGTACCTAGAAATCTGCAGAACTTCAAGCTGGTTTCTGAAAGCAAACCACAGCCAGTAATGGCTGTGGTTTGCTTTCAGAAATCCTAAACGCTCAAACAAACCAAGTGGGCATTATCTTCTTGAAGACATTTGACATTATCCAAAAGGCTTCTTTAGTGCTAAACTTGTCTCAAATACGTAGCTAATAAGTTGCAGTCAGAACAATCGCACCAATATGACCATTGTCGTCAGTAAATGGCACATTAGTCATTGGTTCTCCAGTCTATTTGGTTCAATCTTGGGTCATTGTCACTCTGGATTCGTTTGTCCAGGTCGACGCCACACCAGCAGAATCCCCATGCATGTCGATTGACACTGAACACAGATGTAGACCCTGCGGTCACCTTGAAAAAAAATCCCCTGCAGTCTATAAATACGTCTGTGAGAACCGGTTGGATCTTTTGGTGCACAACTGTCTCTTACCGTCTACTGTCCCATTCGTGTGGTGACGGTGGTTTGACCTACTCAGCAAAAGTTTCCACCAGTGGAAACACTTGTTCTCGCCAAGGCGGAAGAGGCTGCAAGGCCTTGAGCTTCCAGCGTCAACCGTATCTGTGTAATCTGGACTTGCTGTAAACAACTGGAACAACAGAAGCTGAGCGACTGCAGGACATTTTGAACTTGATGAAGGTTAAAGGATATGTATGACTTTAGATCAGCTTCGGCTGACAGTCTCTCTCCGTCTCTCCGGATTTAAAAGGAAAACATTTTTTAAGTGGAGAACCCCATGTTCCTCTTGGAAAGGTTCCACAAACCAAAGGCTTTCTTTAAAGAATCTGTAATCATTTCATAATATTCCAGCGCAGATTTTACCATTTGAAGAATTGTGCATGATAAAAGGCCTCAAAGGGCCTTTTAATCCATTCAGTGGTCAATCAGATGTTAGAAATTAGATATTGCGGTTTTATTATTATGTGAGCTTTTGCCACAGAATCCTGCTAGTCCTCTACAGCCATTAGGTAAAAAAGGTAATCCCATTTGAGAACGTGAAACATCTGGATCCCTGAGGAACTGTGGGACGGGTCAAACTTTAAAAAGTATTAGCCAATTGCTACTATGTCACGTAGAAAAGATACCAGCAGTGATTAATTGTTGCTGCCAAGGATTGGAAGGTAATTTCCAAACAACTTGACTCAATGGGCCTAGAGTAAGAGTGGTTATTCATTGGAAGGACTCTGAACACGTCAGAGAAGCAGAAAACGTGGAAAAATGTGACAAAGTGCTAACCTCTAGAAGGTAGGGATTACTGGAAATCTTTGATGCCAGATTTTCAAGTACCAACTTCTCAAATGACTGATTCTTTTTGATTTTGGTGTAAATTTGCAACCAAGGTAGCTGAAACACCATCTGTAACTACACAACATGTCAAACACCAAGGCAGGTAGGTTACAGCAGCTTGGGACCACTATTGTTAGCTAAACACCAAAAACTGTCGGTCAAGATTCGAATATTAAATAGAGAAATATGTCCTGGTCCAATAAGTCTTGATTCTAAATCTGGTACGTGTTACACTCTAGATTCATTTTTCAACCATGACAGACCCACAATGCACAGGGCCACCAGAAACCTCGGGTAAGTCTTCTCCACTCTTGATGCTTCTGGGGACTTTAAAAAAAAAAAAAAAGAAATACTTTGGCTTCATCTACCGAGGTAATGGACTCTACTTATTTTCATTTTCAAGCTCTGGCATCTCAGTAGAGACTTAATAAAATAAAATATCCAACATTAGAGCAAAGGTGCAGTCATGCAGGTGGACTGGTAGTGAAGGACCCTAGAGGAGATGTAGAATATGTGCCAAAAGATTACCATTGGATCCACATGTCAACGTTGATATGTTCTGCTGGGATTAAGAGTTTTCAAAACCAAGCTAATCCCGCAGGAGGCAAAGATGCTCCAAGAAATACTGCTTCTTCACTGCCAAACAATGAAGAAGCAGCTCTTTACAGGCGTCTTCACAAGTACACAGTTCAAATCTTGAGATACTTGATGCTGAGTTCACAAACCTGAGTCTGTTGGTGCCGCAGAGTTTCTGCGTTACATCCTGACGTCAACGCCGTTTGATACATATCAAACACTCCGTATGTTTGGTTGCATGTACATCCTGAAGGAGTCGTCTCACCTATGAACGCCTTAACTCAAACTGAAGATTTTCTCAACTCAGAGCATAAGCCCAAAACATTGACCAAGTTGCATCCAAAACAAGACACCAGAATCACGTTTAGATTTTTTCCTCTTGCTGTTTCAAGACATTTGATTTTCCATCCAATAAAACAATTATGTTTTGCTTGTTTGCCAGTAAAAGAATGTTTTCACTCAAAATATCTCGAGTAAAAAATGGTTTTACCTCACATAGTCTTTTTTAGTACCAGGTACAGTAAGCGCAGTAAGTCTTCAATAAATGTTAAATCAGACCAGTTCTCAACTAGCACCTAACTTTTTTATTTTTTAAATTTGGAGTTTAACCTGATTTACAATATATAAGACATTTCACTACACTGACCAATGATAAAGTAGTGTTATCCTAGATATCTTTAGTGAGTCGTAGAGAACTTCTAAGAACATTTAATGTAATAGTTCCTTCTGTAAATCGAGATGACCGAGTCTCAACCATTAACACTGAAAGCAGACAGTGATCATGTGAGACATGAGTCCATTCTGATTGGCTTGTCACAACCAGTCCTGTCTGTAGAAAGTAGAGCACATTAAGAGATTCTATCAGTGAAGCAAAACCATTTAAAGAAAATGACTCCTCTAATGTTTATTGGCTATGTGACATGTCTGATCCTGGACACTTTGGGTAAGTTGTGACTTTTAAAGTCTTTTTATTGGCTCTTCAATGCATACTGCTGTCTTCAACGTGCTCCAGCCGCAGCAGAAAGTTACCTGTGTGTTTTCTCTCCATTTCCAGTTCATTTGGAGGCTCAGACTCCGTCGCCGTCTCTGCATTTTGAATCGGTCAACATCGGCTCAAACGTGACTTTAAAGTGTTTCCATAAAGAAACTGATGGAGTGATTTTCTACTGGTATAAACAAACTGCAGGGCAGAAACCACAGCTGATGTCAGAGTTTTATAGATATAAGAAAAATGGCTCACTTACGGGTCAATTTTGCAATGATCCACGATTTGAGCTGGAAACTGGCAAAGACAAAAACCACTTGAGGATCTCGTATGCACAACTGTCAGACTCTGCTACTTACTACTGTGCAGCAATTGATACATATGTGCATACATTTCTAGAGGGCATTATAGTCCATGTCAAAGAACCAAAACTGAACATTTGGACGTTGGTGGATCAGTCCAGATCTGAGATCATCCAGCCAGGAGGTTCTGTGACTTTGAAGTGTTCGGTACAAAGTGGGACCTGCGATGAGGAACACAGAGTTTTCTGGTTCAGAAACTCTGAAGAACACCTTCCAGAGATCATTTACACCAGTGGAGCCAGTGATGACCAGTGTCAGAAGAAGCCGACCACACAGCCACACAGCTGCGTGTACAGCCTGTCCATAGACAGTCTGAACATGTCCAATGCCGGGACCTACCACTGTGCCGTTGCCTCCTGTGGACACATTGTGTTTGGAAAGGGGATGCAGCTGGACTATGAGAGTAACAAATCTTTTTTTCACAGACGGTCTAACATTTCAAGAAGTGGTGGGAATGTCCTCTGATGTTTGCAACGTCTCACTGTCTCTCTTCAGAGAAGTCTGACTCCCCTGTCCTGCTGTACGTCTTGAGTGGAGCTTTAGCGTTCAGCGTCATCCTGGTGGTAATTCTGGCTCAAAAACTGCACAAAACCAAGTTCTGCAAAGGTAAAGTTCGGCTACAGACTAGCTTTGCAATTTAGAAATTATTAGAGTCAAACAGTAAAACATTATTTTTGGTCCATTTTTTTCTTCTCATTTTTAATCTGTTGATGTTTTTTTCTTTTAGCTTTAATTATTTTTGGATTTCTGATTTTGTTTTATTTGACTTGATGGATACATCCTACTGAAGTAACAATTCTTTTTTTTTTTTTGTTCCTTTTGTTTGTGCCCACAAACTCTCCAGAGAGATCCTCAGCAGCCGCGACTCTGAATGCAGATGTGAGCATTTTTATTTCGTTCTTATGTCTCAGTGAAATGTTTCAGTGTGTTCAGAATGCTAGAAGAGGAGAGCAAAAGTAATGTTGGTGTTCTAAGTATCACTCCGTGTCGTCTAGAGCTGTGATTCACCAGGTTACATTTTTATATGATTTGTCAAGGTGCTTTTTCATAACAGGTTGTAAAACAAGTCATGAGGAAAAGAACGTTAACAGTTCACTACAGAAGAGATAAATATAAAACTGGTGTTCTTTTGTTTTTATAGTCATAAAAAGTTTGAAGTGAAACAAGTTTAAAATCAAATTAAATTATACATCATCGAGGTAGATTTAATGTAAGATAAAGCAATATACGTGACAATAGAATGATAATTATACTGCAAACAAAAATATAATTAAAAAATGGTATATTTCATGAAACCAAGTAGAATTTATAATCCATAAATGTGACGTTATGCTTTAAAAGACGACTGATTACCATAAGCTTCTGGCACAACTTCACCTACTACTAAGGTATGAGACGAAGATCTGGTGAGAGGAAGACTCCGGTGACCTTTGAAATGCTGAGGAACCAAATTATTTTGTATTAACAGACTAACACATGTCAGTCTATGGCTGGCCTCTAAAATAGGCATAGCTAAAGGTTATGTCTGTAGACGCACAGAGAATAGAGATACATCATCATTCATTGTCCATCAGTTGCGAGACACAGGCTGATCAGCAGAACGTGACAGAAATCGTAGCAGCTGGAGGAAGCTGAAACATCACTTTTCTTCACTTTAAGTCATAAATGTATCTGGGCAGCATGCAGGAGAATCGTGACTCAATAATGCAGAGCCCTGCAGAAATCCCCCTGGTGGAAATCGCCTGCAGCTGAGGGTTGAGTTCCTAGCAGTTCAAGACACCCACTGATATCGAGTTAAAACAGAAGACAAAACATTCAAGTGAAATACCTTCTTTAAAAATGTATTTGACATCTTGTCGTCCAAAGAAGAGTTTGAACTCAGGATTTATGGTGTAGTAGACTGATTCAGATAAGATATGGCTAAGGTATTAATGTATGTTTTAGGGAAATTATAACTTTATTTCAAAACTTATAGGAAACGTGTGAGGGCTCAAACAATAGTCGTGATATTTCAACGCCACCTTTATTCATCAGACGACATTGCAACTCAGACATAAAAGCCGAGAGCATTTTTGTTGAAAACATGATATGAATCTTGTTGAAATTGAGAACCTGGTCTGGTAAATGATGGACGTGCGGCTGAATTACACACAGCCGTAAGACATGTTGTTAGATTTAGGCCTGTATGTGTCGAAAAGAGAATATATAAAAAGCGCTATATTTCTGCTGTCACGTATGTAGCAAAACCATAAGACAGTACAGTGTTGTAGTTGGCATAAAAGCTGCGTTGTTCACGACTTTACTCTGTTGTTTATCCAGGATTACGAGGATGCAGAAAATCTCCATTATGCTGCTTTAAGAAGCAGTAAAATCAGCAGATCGAGAGGGAAGAGAGATGCCACCAATGAAGTCGTGTACTCCAGTGTTGGGCCTCAGAACTGAAGTTGCTTCTTTGTGTTGTTAGGCTGACGTCTGCGGTAGAAACCCCCTTGACAAGCTTTTGACCAAAACATAAATATTCCAGTTCATTTAGCTGTAATTAAGCTTCACCTGTCAGATGTGACCAAAGTAAGTCCATCTCCTCTGTCACTATTGTTGTACAAACCTTTGAACTCGTGTCTTTGTTAACATCAAGAGATGCTAAATAAAGATCAAAAACTACCTGAGTTTTACATCATTACTGATATGATCACAACTTTCCAAACTAAACCTGTTTTTGATTTAGTCTGATATACAGACAAAATCTGTATTCAGTCTATAAATACAGACTAAAAGTCTCTGCCTCACAGAAGTGAAGAGTTTTAGTCTGTACTCGCTTCAGAGCAATGCAACCAGAACAACCCAGAACTAGAACCATCTCTTCACACCAACAGCGAAACTTGAGATGAATAAAATATCCATATACCAGGAAGTACATTTATTGTTCTGTATATGTCTCAAATTAGACAATAGGGATTACAATATCAAAGATAAAGTTACTAAAATAAATGTTCTCCAGTGTTCATCAACATCAGGAGTCAGATGTTGATGGATGGCGTCCTGGACCCACTGCGGGTGAAATTTTCATAATTACTAGAATTTCTCATTGATGAAATTTTTATGCCACCTGTCGCCTGAAAGTTAATAGTTTATATTTATATATTTTTTTCACCTTTCCAACTACCCAAAGACAAGGGTCTGAATAACGCCTTCCTGTGAGCTCCGCTGTTCTGTTCACCACAAAGCCTGCCTGACCCCAGACTCAGCGTACTCGGCGCTGACGTCACACGGCAGTTTGACCCATTTGAAAGCCCAGAACAGCAGGTTTGAACTGCTGGGTTTACCATTTGCCATTGACATGGAGTGCAGACTGTGAAGCTTTCGCACTGAGTTGACTGAGTGCCAATGTGGGGACACACCGAACGCAAAATATGAGTTTGTGGGTGTTGCAGAGTTGACATGATGCACCTAAATGTCCAAGCTGATCAGATGCTCCTTTTGTTTGGAAATATGTGGGTGTGTGAGCGATTGCGCTCTGTCATGAAGGTGAACAGGAAGCCCCACTGGAGTCGTGTGAGCGATGAACACCTTCCCTCCACCTGAGCATCCCAGACTGAGAACGTTAATGAAGTTGTGTCCAAGATGAGACACCAAATATGTAGCAGTTTCACTTCAGGATTCTTTTTCCTGGCGGTGCTTGTTTGACTGAGGAAGAATGTTTTTACGTAAAATTACTCAATAAATCCTGAAAATCGAGCAAAATGAAATGAATGCCGCTAACGTTGCTTTTTTTCTTTTAATCATTTTATTATTGTCATCTGTAATTGGAACAATATAGGTTTTATTAGTGCCAGACTCTTTGTAAGATGATTTCAATTTCAATAGACATTGAACCAATCCAGGCCTTGACTAGCAACTTTTTTGTTTATTTTGGCCTCTTTGATGCTCCTCATTTACAGTACAAGAGATTCGACTATTGCATTCCTTTATCCCACATATTTGAAGACGTTGTTGGTTTTCTGATAATATGGCATGTCCAATTTCCCCTCCGAAAAGTGAGATAACTGACTCTTACAAAGATATTTTTCTGAACTTGTTCTTTCCGCCTTTCCATTTCCTTCAGCCATTAACACTGAAAGCAGACAGTGATCATGTGAGACCTGAGTCCATTCTGATTGGCTTGTCACAACCAGTCCTGTCTGTAGAAAGTAGAGCACAGTAAGAGATCCTATCAGTGAAGCAAAACCATTTAAAGAAAATGACTCCTCTAATGTTTATTGGCTATGTGACATGTCTGATCTTGGACACTTTGGGTAAGTTGTGACTTTTAAAGTCTTTTTATTGGCTCTTCAATGCATACTGCTGTCTTCAACGTGCTCCAGCCGCAGCAGAAAGTTACCTGTGTGTTTTCTCTCCATTTCCAGTTCATTTGGAGGCTCAGACTATTTCGTCGTCTCTGCATTTGAATCGGTCAACATCGGCTCAAACGTGACTTTGAAGTGTTTCCATAAAGAAACTGATGGAGTGATTTTCTACTGGTATAAACAAACTGCAGGGCAGAAACCACAGCTGATGTCAGAGTTTTATAGATATAAGAAAAATGGCTCACTTACGGGTCAATTTTGCAATGATCCACGATTTGAGCTGGAAACTGGCAAAGACAAAAACCACTTGAGGATCTCTTATGCACAACTGTCAGACTCTGCTACTTACTACTGTGCAGCAATTGATACATATGTGCATACATTTCTAGAGGGCATTATAGTCCATGTCAAAGAACCAAAACTGAACATTTGGACGTTGGTGGATCAGTCCAGATCTGAGATCATCCAGCCAGGAGGTTCTGTGACTTTGAAGTGTTCGGTACAAAGTGGGACCTGCGATGGGGAACACAGAGTTTTCTGGTTCAGAAACTCTGAAGAACACCTTCCAGAGATCATTTACACCAGTGGAGCCAGTGATGACCAGTGTCAGAAAAAGCAGACCACACAGCCACACAGCTGTGTGTACAGCCTGTCCATAGACAGTCTGAACATGTCCAATGCCGGGACCTACCACTGTGCCGTTGCCTCCTGTGGACACATTCTGTTTGGAAAGGAGATGCAGCTGGACTATGAGAGTAACAAATCTTTTTTTTCACAGACGGTCTAACATTTCAAGAAGTGGTGGGAATGTCCTCTGATGTTTGCAACGTCTCACTGTCTCTCTTCAGAAAAGTCTGACTCCCCTGTCCTGCTGTACGTCTTGAGTGGAGCTTTAGCGTTCAGCGTCATCCTGGTGATAATTCTGGCTACACATACAGATGTGATTATGATATTTTTTTTCCTAATTATTTACATGCATTACAGTGTTCAGAATACAAGAAGGCTGCAGAAAGAGCACAAAAAAAATGAATTCAACATCAGGTCATTCAAAGAAAAATTTGAGTATAGTCAGACGGAAAAGAGACTCAATAAGGACTTATGGACCATTTCAGATAAGATATGGCCATGCTGAATAACTTGTGAAGACTCCATCAACACTCGTGGTATTTAAGCCACACCTTTATTTATCAGGAGACATTGCAACTCAGATAGAAAAACCAAGAGCATTTTCGTTAAAAATGTATCATATGTACCTTGTTGAAATTAAGAAGTTAGTCTGGTAAAGGATAGATATGCTGATGAATTACACAACATCCTAAAAAGATCAGATTGGTAGATTTAGACCTGCATTTGCCGGTCCACCATGAAGCAGGCTGAAAAGAGAATATAAAAATAATGCCATATTTCTGCAGTCACATATGTAGCAACACCACAAGACAGTACAGTGTTGTTGTTGGCAGAAAAGCTGCATTTTCACGTCTTTACTCTGTTGTTTACCCAGGATTACAAGGATGCAGAAAATCTCCATTATGCTGCTTTAAGAAGCAGTAAAATCAGAGGGAAAAGGGACGCCATCAGTGAAGTCGTGTACTCCAGTGTTGGGCCTCAGAACTGAAGTTGCTTCTGTGTAAGACGCGCCCCCTACAGGGGACGCTGTGCCATTACGAGTCGGCGCGGGAGGCAGTATGGATGAATGAAAACACAAAAACAGTCACACAAAAATTGTTTCACTGTAAAGATGGTTTGTAGTGTGTTTTGTTGCAACCTGAAGTGTGAAATAAATGTCATTGGAGTTTGAAAACAAAATAGTTGTATAGGTTTATATCTGGTTGAACGATGTGAGTGACCAGTTGATATTTTTTGTCCTTTTTTGGAGGGGACTTTAGTGTAATTCACAAGGGGCCGAGAAAATGTTTGGGAACCACTGAGTTAACGTCTGCGGTAGAAACCCCCTTTATTAAGCTTTTGACCAAAACATAAATATTCCAGTTCATTTAGCTGTAATTAAACTTCACCTGTCAGATGTGACCAAAGTAAGTCCATCTCCTCTGTCACTATTGTTGTACAAACCTTTGAACTCGTGTCTTTGTTAACATCAAGAGATCCTAAATAAAGATCAAAAACTACCTGAGTTTTACATCATTACTGATATGATCACAACCTTCCAAACTAAACCTCTGTTTTTGATTTAGTCTGATATACAGACTAAATCAGTATTCAGTCTATAAATACAGACTAAAAGTCTCTGCCTCACAGAAGTGAAGAGTTTTAGTCTGTACTCGCTACAAAGCAATGCAACCAGAACAACCCAGTCGACTGACGGTGAAGCAGAACCAGAACCGTCTCTTCACACCAACAGTGAAACTTGAGATGAATAAAATATCCATGCACCAGGAAGTACATTTATTGTCCTGTATATGTCTCAAATTAAACTACAGGGATTACAATATCAAATATAAAGTTTCTAAAATAAATGTTCTCCAGTTTTGTGACTATGAACTGATCATTAATCAAGAGTCAGATGTGGATAAATAGCTACTGATAGGAGCACAAGTATGTGCTTAGATGAAAACTGCACTAAAGGCATTACTTTCTTCAAGGTACCAGGACTCTTCTGTCAAGCTCTGATTTGCCCAGCAAGACTTTTTGTTACACCAATCAAATCATTTGTGATTTTGATCATCTTGACGTCACCAGTGGCAAAGAACTAGTGAATCTCGGCACCAGAGAGCTGAGAGAATAAAGCTGGAAATGAGGGAAGCCAACATAAGAGAGAAGACCAGAAAGCAGAAGTTGACTTCTCTTAATGAAACAAAGCGTTGTTCTGGGGAAGAAAGTGTTACATGAAAAGAATAAAGAAAAATAATTAATTACATAAAAATAAAAAAAGTCAATGAAAAGATGCAGTGATGTCAGTTTAGAAGGAATTTGTATGTTTGCAAAAACATACAAAATGAATTAAAATATTTTATTCCATGCATAGCTTGATGTTCTAAATCTTTAAAAATACAGGTAGAAATGGTCCATCAGTCTCCTCCTCATCTAACTTTTTTCACTCTGGCCTATAGGTGGTAGTGAACGTGACATAACTCGTCAGATTTGGTGTCGTCTATCAAAATGAACAAAGGCGTGGAGTTTTCCTCATTCAGCTCAGCTCGCTGAGGAAGATGAGTCCTGCACAGTTTGCCGTCAGTCTTACATTTTTGTTATTTTTCAAAATCGGTAAGTTTTTCATTCCATTATAATGCGAGACTTTCAGAATATATCAAAATGTTTTCACGTGTTTGATTTAAGGGATACTGATCCGTCTCTCCGTGTCTCAGCTCAGACCATTCTCCAGGTTTCCTCATCTGTTCAACAAGACAGTCGATTTGTTTCAGTAAAAGCTGGAGAAAGTGTAACTCTGCAATGTTTTCGTGACCTTGATACAGCTGCCAGGGCTTACTGGTACAAACTAACTATGAGTCAAAAACCACAACTTATTTCTACTGTCTTCAAGTACGACCCAAATGGAACTTTTCATAATGAGTTCAAAGATAATCCGCGCTTCACTATAGATGCTAAAGGAAATCAAAACAACCTTAAGATTACAAATCTGCAACCCTCAGACTCTGGGATTTATTACTGCGTCACCGGCCATTCATACAAGATTGAGTTTGATTGGGGAACCATCATTCACGTCAATGGATCAGGATTAAACATCCAGGCTTTGGTCCAACAGTCAGAAACTGAGATTTTCCAGCCTGGACACTCTGTGACTCTTAACTGTACGGTGCAAACTGGGAGCTGTGGTGGAGAACACAGAGTTTACTGGTTCAGAAACTCTGAGGAACATTATCCAGGACTAATTTACACCAATGAAGGGAGCAATGATCAGTGTGAGAGGAAGCCTGGGGAACAAAGTAATGAATGTGTGTTCAGTTTGCCACTGAAGGACCTCACTGTGTCTCATGCCGGGACTTATTACTGTGCCGTTGCCTCATGCGGACAAATACTGTTTGGAAACGGGACGAACCTGAATGTGAAGAGTGAGTAACGACTTCTACTTCGTTTTCTCCTCAAATGCAGTTCTCTCTTCCAGACTCTGATGTCTGTTTTCTTTCTGACTCTCTGCAGTGAAGCTAGACTCTGTGTATCTCCTGACAGGAGCTTTGGTATTCACCACATTCCTAAGTGTTTCGCAGGCCGTGTTGTTGTTCGTTCTCTGCAAGAGAAACCACTCTAGAGACCCAGGTACTTCAAAATACATTTTACTAAAACTACAAACTCAAGACGGCATCAGTGATGGATATGTCATTCTTTTTCAGACTCTCAGTCCAGAAGGTCTCCTCCTTCAACAACCACTGCAGAAGTATTGTGTTTTTTTTATTCATATCATTTGTGTCATTAGTTCTTGGTTCTTATTAATTGACAATTATTTTCAAATGACATTTTTTTTTCCTTTCTCATTTGCAGGGTGAAAATCTTCATTACGCAGCTTTTAAGACCGGAAGATTATCAGACCAGAAGAGCAGCAGATCAGCAAGGCAGAGAAATGAAATGACTGACTGTGTGTACTCCTCTGTTGTTTCTTAAGCTGGGAAACTGATCTAAGATATCATACTTGTTAAATTGGACTGAACCAATCTTTAATTTCTTTTATATGAGTAATTTCTTATCTCTGCTAACTTGTTTTCTCGTTTTGACGACAAACTGCCTGCTGAGTCGCCGTTACACGCTTAGAGTTTTAGAGGGTTTTCTGATCTTGAATTTTCGTCAAGAAATTAAATTTACCACAAAAAAACAACAAAGCGTGGCACGTTACGACGTCGTCTGCAGGTCCGATGTCACCCACGTGTTACCACAGACCCAGTTCTGTGACCTACATCACTGTTTGCCTGATACCAGAGTTCATGTCATAGATCAAAATGCTCCCGAATGGTCCTCACCAGAAAACTCACTTTTAAATATAATTTCAATAAGACAACATCTGGTGCAAGAAAAAAAAAGAGGTAATTTAAGTTGTAATTGAACCACATTTTTAAGGATGTTGCTCATTGGGGAAGGAGGGAAGGCACATGCTCAGATGGAAAAACGTCACGTTGTGTGGTTTATGTAACCACCAGCTGCTTTGGTAGAGTGAGATGTTTTGTTTTTTAAAGGCACAGCTTAAAAATGTTTACTTGTTTCACATCAATAGTCATGTCATCTGATGCAAATATTTAACAATGTTCATCACTATACAAAGGGCCTCAAAGCTACAACAGAGTCTGTAAAATGAACAACCATATTATTATTTTTTACTTGAAAATTTTCAATTTTTCCTATGATCTCTCCAGAGAAGCTGTAGGTCACATTAAATGAGTTGACTTCATAAAACCTGATTAACCAGTGACGATTCAGCAGCTTAAATTGAACAAAATCCAAAGAAGAGACGTTAAATCTCTACGGAACGATGTACTTGTTGAGTGCAACAAGGCGCTCATCAAAATGAATAAAATATGCTCAAAAAACTGCTGTAATTACGTCTATTGCTGGAAGTCATCCGATATCCTACAGTGTTATCAGTCCTCCAATAGGTTCAAACTGAAACCAACAGCAAAGTGTGTCCATATGAAGAATCAATCCCATCTGTTTCTGTCTGACTCTCTACAGGCTGGTTTCTGCCACCACCATATCAGTTTTTCAAATAAATCATTTTGAAACCTTTTCTTTGCCTTGGCAGCGTTCTGACTTCTAGTTCTTGTAGATTTGATCCAATAAGATTCAATCAGTGCATCTGATCTGGGACAGAAACCTTTGCTTTGTTTATCCCCCAGAAGCCTTTGTTCCTGTAAACTGTGGAGGCCTTCTCAAGCCACAGATATAACCCACCTTTGGTTTAGTCTCCAATGGCTTAATATAAGTGGTAGACTGCAGTCATAACTATGTCTTTAAATTGTAAACATTTCTCGCTAGTAAATGTGTTGGGCGGAGGTGATAATGACTGAATCTGCACTACATGATCCAACATTTATGATGCCTTGTGTAGCTGATATCTCCTCAACTTCCAGTAAAATGTCTGACTGCAGAATGTGAGGAATCACCCGTCAGTCCGATCCTATCCTCTTTCTCACAGCCAGTTTATAGAAAGAAATCAAACCACATTGGAACCCAATTGATCCAAAAGTGGGATGCCACCAGACACCATTCCTGAACATGTTATCAAAAATATATTGAATACTTTTAAAAAGTGTAAATCTTGACTTATAAATGTCTGAACTAGTCAAATATATCTCACAGGTGTGATTTTTGCACAAACTGGCTTCCAATCTGAAAGGTTCTGCAGGCTCTTTCTGGACACTCTGATCTTCAGCTCTTTCCAAAGATTGTCAGTTTGATATTTTCAGTACATTTTGTTATCCAGTCCTCTTCTGTAAGACAACCCAATCCTTCATTGCTAATACCTGCAAATTTTATTTTTGGCCTGATGTTTTAGGTTGATGTGCAGAACCAGTGTTGCTCCCGTGTGCAATACCATTAAAAGAGTTCAGTTTTGGTGTCATAAGACCAAACGACACTCCTTGTTCACATGATAAGATTTTAAAGTTGGTTGGTTTTTATAACCCAAGACACCCCACACATGACGATAAAGAAGTTATAGGTTTGGTCCTATAGGATTTAGTGACACACTTCAAATGAAAAGATTTTGACAGAAAACCAAAGTCTTGGTCTAATCTTAGGTTAAAAGCATCATGCTCCATATTTTGTGTGTACTCACCCTTTAAAAGCAGCCACCGGTCTTGACATGGTGGCCGCTTATAAAGTGGTTTGTTTGGTGTTCTGATTTCTTTGTCTTTAAACATCAAAATAAATAAGTTTCAAAGTTGTACGTGATATTTCTGCAGACACAATCTAAACTAGAACAAAACGCTCGAGCAGGGGTTTCCGTCACCGAATGCAGCTAATTTTCCATGTCCTCTTTAAAGCTACAGCAGACATGACAAGTCTCTCTCCTCCTCGTTTGCCTTTTTGTTTCCATTCTGGCCTATAGGCGGTGGTGATCATGACATCAGCTCTCGCTGCTAATTGGTCAATCAAATTTAGTGTTGTCCATTAAAACGGAACAAAGGCGTGGAGCTTTTCTCATTCAGCTCGGCTCTTTGATCAAGATGAGTCCTGGACAGCTTGCCCTCAGTCTGACATTTTTATTCTCGTTAAAATGTGGTAAGTTTGTTTAATTGGCATTGTGATATGACTCTGAGTATTTCAATATGGTTTTGCATGTTTGATTTAACATATATTAATCCATATCTTCTTATTTCAGCTCAGACTATTTCCCAGGTTTCCTCATCGGTTCAACAAGACAGACGGTTTGTTTCAGTAAAAGCTGGAGAAAATGTAATTCTGGAATGTTTCTATGACCAAATGTCAACTGCAAAGTTTGGCTGGTTCAAGCTGTCATTTGAACACAAGCCAAAACACATTTATTTTGCCTACAGCCACAACCGAAATGGAACTTTTCATAATGAGTTCAAAGATAATCCGCGCTTCACTATAGATGCTAAAGAAAATCAAAACAACCTGAAGATTACAAATCTGCAACCCTCAGACTCAGGGATTTATTACTGCATGACCGGGACTCCATACAAGATTGATTTTGATTGGGGAACCATCATTCACGTCGATGGATCAGGATTAAACATCCAGGCTTTGGTCCAACAGTCAGAAACTGAGATTTTTCAGCCAGGACACTCTGTGACTCTTAACTGTACGGTGCAAACTGGGAGCTGTGGTGGAGAACACAGAGTTTACTGGTTCAGAAACTCTGAGGAACGTTATCCAGGACTAATTTACACCAATGAAGGGAGCAATGATCATGTGAGAGGAAGCCTGGGGAACAAAGTAATGAATGTGTGTTCAGTTTGCCACTGAAGGACCTCACTGTGTCTCATGCCGGGACTTATTACTGTGCCGTTGCCTCATGTGGACAAATACTGTTTGGAAACGGGACGAACCTGAATGTGAAGAGTGAGTAACAACTTCTACTTCGTTTTCTCCTCAAATGCAGTTCTCTCTTCCAGACTCTGATGTCTGTTTTCTTTCTGACTCTCTGCAGTGAAGCCAGACTCTGTGTATCTCCTGACAGGAGCTTTGGTATTCACCACATTCCTAAGTGTTTCACAGGCCGTGTTGTTGTTCGTTCTCTGCAAGAGAAACCACTCTAGAGACCCAGGTACTTCAAATACATTTTACTAAAACCTACAAACTCAAGACGGCATCAGTGATGGATATGTCATTCTTTTTCAGACTCTCAGTCCAGAAGGTCTCCTCCTTCAACAACCCCTGCAGAAGTATTGTGTTTTAACATTCATATAACTCAAGTCAGTAGGAATGCTTTCTTCTCAAGTTACAAAAATGTTCCAATTTTGTTTTTTCATCTGATGTACAGGGTGACCTAAATAGGGAAAACCTTCATTACGCAGCATTGAAGACGAGAAGATTATCAGACCAGAAGAGAAGCAGATCATCAAGGCAGAGAAATGAAATACCTGACTGTGTGTACTCCACTGTACTGATGTAAATGTGGGTTACTGTTCCATCAGTTAGTGCAAACAAAATTTGATGGCTTTATAAATTGGACCATAATGTTTTTTTAAATTTTTTAAAATTATTCTATGCTGATTGTTTTTGACTCATCACTTGTTTTGATGGCAAAATGTTTGAGCTAGATCATCATTATTGAATTTGCTGACATTTTTAAAGATAATTAACTTTACTATAATAAGTACACTTCAAGTTGTCTACTTCTGATTTCTCATTAAGGAATTAAATTTACCCCCCAAAAAAAGAAAAAGTGTGGTATGGCATGATGTCGTCTCCTGGATTTGCGAAGCAGAGTCTCGCCCACACACATCGCCACAGACCCAGTTCTGTGATCTAAATCACTGGATGTCTGAGGTCAGAGTCGATCTTAGAAATCACAGTGCACCATAAAGGTCCTCACCAAAAAAACAGACTTTTAAAAATAACTCTGATGTCGGAACAGGAGGTGGTAGCAAGCAAAAGGTATGATTGTTTTTGTTTTTTTTTTTTTTTTTTAAGCAACCAACTAAACAACAGTGTCTAGAATAATTATACTGCTACTCCAACACTCATTTCTTGGTCTACCTGTAGTATAAAAGTAGGTTTTATAGCTTAATTTTGTACTGATAGTAAACAGTTCAAAAACCGAGACGCAGGTTAAAACTATATATATATATTTATACACATGTGTGTCATTTTTGATGCACTCCCATTCAGTTTTGTCCACCTGCATGAAGATAAATGGTGGTCAGACATTCACAGAGTTCTGCTCCGTCTAGACCTGGAGAGTTGTTTTTTCAGGGACTTACTTCATTTATTTATGTTTCGTTGTTGTTGACTTCTTAAGTCAACAGGTAACCTAATTCCCTTGGGAAAGAGACTTCAGTGCTCTGTGAGCGCCTCCTACTGGTCAAAAACTGATCAGTAGAACTGCATCAGAAAGGAAGTCCTGCTGTAAAGCCTCCATTTTAGTTTCAAGCACCCAGTGTCGCGAGGTGAATGAAGCGTCTACGTAGCGTATCGCATGATTAAATGTGACGAAAAGAGAGTCGCATACGACACCAATGACTGTCAGATGTTTTCGTGCAAAGAGTCAAGTGGTCTTCAGTGGGAGGACAGAAATGTGCAGGAGTGTTTGACAGGAAGAGACAGCGCAGTGTGGTCTGAGCGTCGCACAGCCTCATGCATCGGCTCTGTTCAGACAATTGTGAAAACATCTTGGCTATGATCAAATCAAAGCTGCTGCATGTCAGCGTACTTAGTTTGATTTTCAAAACGTATCATACACAAAACATTGTAGTGAGACTTAAAAAACAACAACAAAAAGACAAATGTCATGCATCAAAAACACAAATCAACCACAGACCACACCCATCAGACTGCTGCCGTGGGAACACGTTTAGGCCGAGTGGTGGTGTGGTCTGGTGTGTGAATTTTGGTGTGAGAGCAGCAGAGCAACAACAACAACATGACACCACATACGCAGTAAAATGAACGCTAACAATGACACAGTATCTATGTTCTTGTGTTCTCAGGTTTTCTTCATCTTGGAGGCAAATCGCTGCAAACAGCACCAACACCAACACGTCAAACTGCAAAACGCTTCACATTTGTTTAATTTGGTTCAGTGTATTTTGCTGCTATAGTGGTAAAGCACATCAAAATGCTTTTCATAGGTAAAAACTGACACAATTCAAATCAATTAGACTTAAATCATTAATAATGTCAACACCAACCATCTGATTTCTTCCAATTAAAATGTGATTCAGAAGAATAGTGTCAGACATTTTAGTAAAGAATCTGTTGAAGTTTATGAGTGTGAAAATACAAGAGCAGACCTTTTCAAATTAAGGGCAGGTCGCCTTCTTTTCTCTCTCAAGTCTTGTGTTTCTCTCACTTTAACATGTTAAAGAGGAAAGGAAACCACAGGCCAGGGACACATGGATATTGGATTTTCTGTCGAAAAACTCCAATATCCATGCCGATATACTAGAAGTCATTTGGCCGATAACCGATACTGATGCTTTTTTCTATATCTGCTTAATGAAACTATATGTCTGTCTCTATTGACTGATCCCAATACCATGTCGATGATATTGCACATCCCTACCACAGGGGGTAGAGACATCAGAAAAAAAAGACACATAAGACAAAAAATCTCTTCACTTTTATCTGCTGGTCTTCTGAAGGCATGATTGGTGGAATAAGATGAGTTGGTGAAGAACTGAAGATGCTCAAAGGGAGCCGGAAACAACGGGGAGCAACGAAACCAGCTTGTTTAACGAGGAGAAGCGTCGTGTGACGCTGATGATGCGTTGATTCATAGTGAGCCTTAAACGGGCGGAGATGAACGTCGTTTCTCAGGAAGAGGCTGTAACGTGAGAAAGGACAACTGAAACCTGCTGGTCTCTCCACCTTCAGCACCAAAGGCCTCAAACTGAGCAGACATGTTGGACTAACTTTCCATTTTTATCATGAGTAACATCAAAATGTATGTTTCTGCAAAGGAGTTGAATGAAATAGAACAAAAGCGAGGCGTTTGATGTTTGATATGTTAGTTTCATTCTAGCAGGTCTGATAGTCCCTCCCCAGTTTCCACTGCGGTGACATTTAGCCACAGAGAGACTAGCCTTCAGCGCTGCACCAAAACCACAGCTGGTAAAAGCTTCTCTCCTTTCACATCAAGAGATTTGAGCTTCTCTTTTAAAGTGTATTCAGTGGGCCTCGGGGAAGGCCTTGTCAAACTTCCTCTTCTTTGCTGCTGAAACTCACCAGACAATAGTAGCAATATGGCAGAATCAGAACGTGCAGGGTGGTACCGACTGTCCTTTCATAAAAACGTTTCATTAGGGATGTTGGAGCGTCTTCCTCTTGATGTAATGTGTGTTTAGGTAAAGAACCATGGTAGAGGGAAACGACACTAAGGGTAGTACAACAAAATTTGTTAAACTTCCGTTTATGTTCTTAGAAGTTTCTGTTATAAGCAAACCCAAATAATACACAATCAAGATTGAGCAAAGCTGTTTTATTTTTATTATTATTAAAAGTTGTGTTTTTTTCCCCATTTTTGCTAGAAGAGACACAGAAAACACAATGCAAGTAGGTAATGAAATGACTCATGACAATAATAGAGCCTTAGCTGCTGTCATTAATATTGAGAGACTATCTGGTGGCAGCGTACAGGACAATCTGATCTGTGTCTCTCTCTGCAGGAGGCCTTCTGGTCCTGTTTGCTTTGGGTCTGAAATTCAATGCTGCATAGTTCACAAGATCAGAGTCCAGATTCTACAAGACAAGAAATGACTTACAGTAACTCAGTGGGTTTTAGGTTTGAGTAATTAAAAAAAAAACATTACAATTTAATGTGATCACCTCATTGGGTTGCTGATTCTGCCTGTTGGTTTGACCTGGAAAACAGAGACACTGAAGCTGGTAAACTGCTTGAACATTTTTCAATGTGTCATTTCATATTATTTCATATTGTTAAGTTGGTTGAAAAGAAAATACAGAGAAAATTACAACCACAAAAATACCTGCGTGACAAGGTTTGTTTTTCAAAAGCAGTCCCAGGATGATTATGACCAGGAAAAAAACTACACCACCCAGAATGACAGTGGGCAGGTTGACTCCATCCAGTCCATCTACAACTGAGACAAAGACAAATTGTGTACTCAGCACAATAAAAGGAAAATGTTTCCAGGTCGACTTTCCTGGAAACTGATCCGTACTCCCATCTTATCTCTGTCTACTTTTATTTCTCACCAACCAATTTTTTCTACTCACCTGAGCAACAGTATAACAACTAATACCTACTGTGGTGACATATTTTCAGAAATTATGGAGACAAATTGTCATAAATAGGTTGTTTGTTTTAATAGCATTCCATTAGGAAAACTTTTTATTTCCTATTTCCATTGATTCTGGCTCTGATCCAGATGTGGGACCAGTGATTCCAATAAAGTCAAATTGGCTCTAGAGACCTAAATGAGGTAGATGTTATTTAATTATATCACGTTACCTAGACTACGAGTAGGCCATGGAAAATTATTGTTTTGAAAGATAATTTTAAATTGGACTAATGTATTTGAAGTTAAAATACATTATAAATAGATGATATTTACAATATTATAAATATTATTTATAAAAAGGAATTTTTTGGGTCAATATTCTGATGTTGAGAAAGCAGGAAATTTCTTGATCAAAAACTGCACATTTACAAAATGACGGAACAAAACCATAAAAAAAAAAAAAAAAATGTTTAAACAATAATGGAGAGACTCTGTTCAATACGGTTCCACTGAAGATACTATATGTTTTCTCTGATTATAATATAAACCTCATAATAGAAACACTCTTACCTTCAACTTGTAAATATGTTTCACTGAAGATTTTATGACAGTTTGATGACATGATTCCACAGATATAAACTCCAGAATCTGAGAAATTCACTTGTTTGATGTCCAGAAAGATGTTGGTGACATTTGATGTCATCAAAAATTTCTCATGTTGAAATCCAACAAATAGACGAGCTTCAGATTCAACATCAAGCATCGATGTGATGCGGCTGACGGTGGATCCATCAACCAGTTTATACCAGAATATGGGTTTGACATTTCTGCTTTTGTTGGAGCACAGCAGAGTGACGTCTTCACCAGGCTGAACCAGAACCGAGTGAAACTCAAAGTCTGACTTTGTGATCCGACCTGAAACATTCACAGAGATCAACTACAACTCTGAACTATAGAATTAAATATGTTGTGCGATCTGAACAGAAATGGTAAATGTGTTGAGAAAACCATAGACAGCTGTACTTACTGAAGGTGAAGAGGAAAACCAGTATCACGTTCATGTTCATCATTGTTCGGCTCCGTTAGAGCAAGAAACTGAGTGTCAGTTCTAGACAGCCTTCAGTATAGAGGTGGAGTTTTCTTTGTGTTGTCCGTTTCCTCAAACTGATGACGAGAATCGTTTTATTAGAACAAAACCATTGTTGGTTGTGAAGAGCTGAAAGTAACGTCTTCATGAATAACATGCAACGCTCTTTCAAGTTGGAGAATCTGTAAGAGATTAAAACGCTTGAGAGCTTTGATATGAACTGAGTGTGTGGCACCATGCGTTAAGCATGTGTTACCAACCTGTGTGTGTGTTACATATTTATCACTTGAATGTGTTCTTCACAAGAAGTGGCTGGAGAAGCAGCAGAACAATAACTCATGTAACAGTTGTGGCACACTTACCAAAAGCAGAGGATTGCTTTAATTCATGAGAATTAAATACAGTAGCTGCTCCTGAGCAGATAGTCCATCAGTCAAAGTCGACTTCTTACTGTTGCACAAAAGATCACACACTTGACTGGTGCAAAACTTGTTAAAAATTGTTGACTGGTTCGAGTGAAAGTGAGCAGAAACCTTTCAAAAGTGAAGATCAGTGGTTTTGTGGCAGCTTAGAGGTGAAGCACCACCATCTATGGAGGCCTTTGTCCCAGACGCGGCTCATTACCCACTTTAGTATCTGATCACTTTAAAATAAAGGCCACTAAAGACAATAAAACCATTTTTTAAAGATAAGAATTATAAAGTATTGGCTGGTTACCAGATTCTAAATGACCTTCTAGACAGTTTTAATGCAAAAATATAATAATATTCTGTTTCTCACCTCTCTTTCAGATTATACAAAGTCTTGTCATAAGATGAAGTCACCAGCAGGGGGTTGTCATGAGAAGATCACAGGTCAAGGTCATTGCTCCGTTTCTGTTCAACGTTGTTTCATTTGGAAATTTATTCACAATTACCAAAAGCAGATAGAATATTTCTTTTATTCATGTGAATTGAATATAGTAGATAGTCCATCAGTCAAAGTTGACTTCTTCCTGTTGCACACAAAGTTACACACTTTCTGTCAGTCCTGTTTTAAAAGCTGTTGACTAGTATGAGTGTAAGTCAGCAGAAATCCATTAAAGGTAAAGATCAGTGGTTTAGTAGGGGCTTAGAGGTGAAGCACCACCATCTATGGAGGCCTTTGTCCCAGACGCGGCTCATTACCCACTTTAGTATCTGATCACTTTAAAATAAAGGCCACTGAAGCCAATAAAACCTTTTTTAAGTTAATAATTATAAAGTATTGCCTTGTTACCAGATTCTAAATGAGCTCCTGGACTGCTTTAATGCGAAAACATGATAACATTGTGTTCCTCACCTTTCTTTTAGATTATACAAAGTCTTGTCATGAGATGAAGTCACCAGCAGGGGGTTGATCCGTGATGCTCAGAACCAATTGCCGTTACTTTCCCAGAACTGATCATGATCATAGTTTTCTACTTCAACGTCAAACAAAGAGCCTCATTTTCTCACCAAGAGGCCAATGACATGACCGTCTGTGGTGAGCTCCATAAACGTCTTGGTTCAAAACAATCCACAGCTTCACACCAGTGGTTCAAGCAATCCTTTCTTCTCCAACAGTGCTGACATGATAAGATCTTCTGACCAGAACCTAGAAAATGCAGCCAGAATGAACCACCAGCTGGAGCCGACTCTTCACTCTGCAGTTTTGTTCTCACTGTGCAGTTTTAAAGATTGCTTCCTGTTCCTCATCTGGACTCTTGGTAAATGAGTGACAATCATACACCCAATATTTGTCTTCACTTCATTATAATTATCTTTAATAAAACAACCCTTGTGTAAAAAGTCCAGCTCAGTCTGAACAGCGATCAGTGTGACTTACAAAAACATTCATTGTACTGTTTCTTTGACAAATATGAGAAAAGGTCAAAGTTTATAAATGAAAACAATTTATTTACTTTTTTTTTTTTTAAGCCATTGAGAAGATGTTGATAGACTGACATAAAATAATAATAAAGTATCATTATGACTCTGCGCTGATATTGACATGACTGTGTCCGTCTGTTGTTGTGTAGGGGGGACCAGATGTCCTCTTTTCCCTGGACATGTCCACATTTTGGCGTTCTGTCCGGGGGACGTCGACTAATTGATGAAAACGTCAGGATCTTCAGGGAACCAGAGGAGCTGAACACGACAGACTTGTCGTCCTATCTGGTGGAGACAAGAGAACGGAGCACACCGTTCTCCGTCTCTCTCTCTTGCCTTGCTTTGCTGTCGGCTTTGGCTCTGAATTTCACTGCTGCGTAGTTTAAAGAGTCCAGGTTCTGTAAGAAGAAAGGATGAGCAGCGACTCAGCAAGTTTTAGGCTCGACTTAAACAGGAAATGAATTCAATCATTGTGTCAGTACCTCGTTTTGCTGTTGATGCTGCCTGTTGGTTGGAGCTGAAAAACAGGAACTCTTGCGTTTACATCAGCTGCTTGTGTGAGTTTGATTGCAACAAAGACACAAAATGACTAGAACAAAATACCTTTATGAAAAGTCCTGATCTTGCAAACCAGGCCCAGGATGACAGCAGCAAGGAGAATCACTGAACCTCCGAGAGTCAGAGTGAGCATTTTGTTGAATCCATCTACAGCAGAGACATTGATTCTGATTTTTAATGAATCAATAAGAAGGTTTTTGGATGAACTTTGCTCTACGATTCATTTCATCTCCATCTACTTCCATTTTACAAATATGAACTAATCATGTTGTACAGTATGCATTCACATAAACAACAGAATCGAAAAGAAAAAGTTCAGAAATATCCTTTAATTTCCCTCAGTGGAGAAATTCAGTTGTAACAGCAGCAAATCAATGTGGTAATAATAATAATAATAATAATAATAATAATAATAATAATAATAATAATAATAATAATAATGTTAATAATTTCATATTTATGATAATATCATATTATTATTACATTATTATTGTTATTATTAGTAGTATCATTTTGATCATTAACATTATTATTAATGTGAAACTAGACTCTAAAATGCAAATTCACATCAATTAAAAGTGCAGCTAATAAGATAGTAAAAAATGTATATAGGACATAACAGTAAACATATAGAAAAATTATATTTGGGATAATTTGTCATAAAGCCTCAGATCTTGTATCTGATTTATTTCCATATTCTTCTTGAAAACGCTTCATTCCTTATCATTCACATTATTTCAACTTACCTTGCTTTGATTCTGGGTCTGATCCACATTTGGGTCGGGTGGCTCCTGTAAAATATAGCAGATTAGGGAATCAGCTGGTGATAAAGCCACATTAGCTCCAGTAGGTGGATTTTATTTGGCTGATCAGGCCGATTTTAGAAAACTACTCTACATCATCTGTTGACAAAGCGAGACCATTGTAGGTTCAAATCTACACAATGACAACCCTCAAAAACATGGACAAGTATGTAGATAAAAACATTACATTAGCATTGACTACCAGTCATAATAAACACTCTTACCTTCAACTTGTAAATATGTTTCACTGAAGATGTTCAGACAGCTTTCTGACTTGGTTCCACAGATATAAACTCCAGAATCTGAGAAATTTACTTGTTTGATGTCCAGAAAGATGTTGGTGACATTTGATGTCATGACGAATTTCTCACGTTGAAATCCGACAAATAGACGAGCTTCATATCCAAAATCAAACATCGATGAGATGCGGCTGACATTGGATCCATCAACCAGTTTATACCAGAATAGGTGTTCGATATTACTGCTTGTGTTGGAGCACAGCAGAGTGACGTCTTCACCAGGCTGAACCAAAACCGAGTGAAACTCAAAGTTTGACTTTGTGATCCGACCTGAAACATTCACAGAGTTCAACTACAACTCTGAACTATAGAAGTCAATATGTTGTGCGATCTGAACAGAAATGATAAATGTGTTGAGAAAACCATAGACAGCTGTACTTACTGAAGGTGAAGAGGAAAACCAGTATCACATTGATGTTCATCGTTGTTCGGCTCCGTTAGAGCAAGAAACTGAGTGTCAGTTCTAGACAGCCTTCAGTATAGAGGTGGAGTTTTCTTTGTGTTTCCTCAAACTGATGACGAGAATCATTTTATTAGAACAGGAGAAACGGCAGTGATTGGTTGTAAAGAGCCGGAAGTAATTTTATTATGTCATGTACCACAAAATACAATTTATTCAAAAAAATGTTGCGCGTTCCCAAAGCGCTGACTAAGATAACAAGTCCTGCAGATAAATGAAAGATTCGTCTGCAGTAGTTTTGATGCTCTTTGTTTTCTTTTATGTCTGACAATCTGTTACCTTTAACACAGTAAAAGCTTTGATATGAGCCAATGTGTGTGTTGCCTCTCATGATGTGTGTGTTTGCCCCACAGGCTGGTGATACATGTGTAACAGTTGAATCTGAGGCTGGTAGAAAAGCCAAACAATTTCTACTTTTTGCTGCAGAGTTTCATAAGTTATTTCAAGGAAATATAAGAAAATAAATGACTCATCTGTTTTTGTGTGGCTGAATTTTTTTTGTATCTCATTTGTCTGGTAAACTTTGAAGCAGTTTGTGGTTTTTTATGCAGTGGAGGCCCTCCACTTTCCAATTTAAATTTTCAGCCTCAACCATCCGTCCCTCATAAAGCAGAAGTTTCGTACAAGTTTTGGGGAATATTTCACCATTTGTCATAATGCCATTTAAACAGGAACGTAAAATACAGGAATATCAGTTTATCTTTTCTTCCATCAACATACAGCACACATCAGGGTCAAAGTTCAGATTGTCGCCTGACTCATTCACAGTGAAAAAGTGCTTTGACACGATGCGCACATTGTTGTCCTGAACAAATGCAGTTTGGGTCAATTTTGTAATATTTTTATGTTTTTTTCTTAAAATGAAACTTAAAACTTCCCAGTTTTCTCAAGATTTGAGTATCACTCGTGCACATTTTTTAAAACTTTGTTCTTTTCATCTTTTTTATGTCCCTTTGTTAATTGTATCCTTGCTTTTGCTTGCCTATGTGTTGCTTTAAATCTCTAAACAGTCACTTTTCTCCAGCTTGAATTGTTGGTTTTTATCATTCCTCGTGCTTGTTTTGATTTTGAAACTTCTTTTGAGCGATGTTGATTTCTCTGCCGTTGGATAAAATTGACTTGATTAGACGTTTGATTAGATGTGTTGTTGCTTAATTATGTTGTTTTTGTTCCTTTGTTTGTACCTCAGCGTGTCCCGCTGGACCCTGACACCTGATTCATGTCGGCTACTTACTCTGATCATCATTAAAATGGCAGATAATCAATACAGCAAATGAAAGAAATGTGCAAAAGAAAACAAAAAACAAAAACAACAGCAATAGATTGGAAACAAGAAAAATCTACTTGCCAACATCTATTCTTAAGGGCGTCTAATATATAACACATAAAGTGTAACACTGGCCTGATAAACCCTGTGCTGTTAACATTTCACATTGGAACAATAATCACTTCCACTACATTTGTAATGTGTAATAAACTGGTTCCATTCTCTATAACTGGTCAGGTTGCGTGCAGTTTGGCCTGAGCTTAAAGAAGTCTTTTGTGGTTTTTCACATTTGCTGCCACCACAGTGGAAACAAGCAGCGATGCTACCATAGAGACTTTGGCTAACACTTGGCACCAACTTCTCTCTGCCTCGCATCTAAACATAGACACCGGAAGTCTCAGTCCGTCACGTCTGTGACCTTTCACTTTTTCCATCCAACAAGGGAAGAAAAAAGACAACAACACAAATGTTAAAGTAAAACTTTATGTCAACTTGGAAAAAAAAAGAAAAATACTCAGATGAACATTAAACCATCAACAAATTTTGAACTCATCATTACTAGTAGGTCTGTCTTGTAGCAGAATACAGAACATTTGTCTCCAGATCTCTTTGTGCTTCAGGTCTTCTGTTGCTCTTGGTTTTTGGAGGGAAGCTCAGCGCTGCGTAGTTCATGTCATGAGAGTCTAAATTCTGCAGGTAAAAGGACTTACAGTTACTAACTTATAGAATCATGGAAGGTTTATTTCGAGATGCTTACATTCACTGACACAGCCATTACCTCATGATGTTGCAGAGTCTTTCTGTCTGAAGACGAGATCACCCAAAAACGATTCAGGTGGCGAGTTTAGGTTTTATTTTTACATTCACAGACATCTAAATGTCAAATTTGCATAGAAATATCACGGGTACCTGCAGACAAGGTCCTGATTTTCACAATAAAACCAATGAGGGCAATTAAAAGAAATATGATGATGGCACCCAGGATCCAGTTCATTAAATGTTCTGGTGCATCAGGTTCCTCAGAAGAATCGACTGATATTTCTGTAAATATTTACAGGAGCGTTAGGTACAATTTTTTTTTTTTGTTTGTTTTATCTCACGGCCTGACCAATATGGAAGCTCATAATCTTACCTTCAACCTTTAAATAGGTTGCGGTGAAAACGGTAGGAAACGCATCAAAATAATGTCCACAGATATACAAGCCAGAGTCGTTGGCGTCCAGCGGTTTGATGCGCAGGGAGATGTTTGTGGAGTCGGACTCCATGGTGAATTTATCCGGCTGGAACGGCTCGTAGGACGACGGGGCGGATTCGGCGTTCAGCATCGAAGAGATGCATCTGGCTCTGTCGTCCAGCTTGAACCAGAACACCTGAGAGCGATAAGTGCTCATGTTGGAGCACCACAGTGTGACTCCTTCACCAGTCTGAGCCACCGCTGTGTGAAACTGAAAACCTGAGACTGAGATCCAACCTGTAGCATTCAGAAAATACAGGTTTTACCAAAACAAACAAAAAAACATAAGTTAATGATAAGAATTGTTGCCTTCAGTTAGATTTTTGTACAAAACAGAAGAAGAGAACATTTTTCAGATGTACTTACTGAGTGAGGAGAGTAAAGCCAGTTTGAAGGTGCAGTTCATGGTTGTGAACACAGTCAGTGTCACAATCTGAACTGAGCTCCAGTTTATAGCGACTTCATGAGGAGGAGGTGGGGAGTTGTTTGATTTGCTTAGCCTGCTGAAAGCGACACTGAGAATGGCTTCCGTCTGTCCGTCCATCCATCCATCCATCCATCCATCCATCCATCCATCCATCCATCCATCCATCCATCCATCCATCCATCCATCCATCCATCCATCCATCCATCCATCCATCCATCCATCCCATCCATCCATCCATCCATCCATCCATCCATCCATCTTCTTTTGATTTATCCGGGGTCAGGTTGCGGGGGTAGCAGCTTCAGAAGGGACCCAGGGGTGGGACGTGACTGGAACACCTCACCACTGAGGTGTCCAACTTATAGACGCCTATAAGTCTATAAGTTAGAAAGGCATCCTGACCAGATGCCCGACCCTCAACTGGCTCCTCTCAATGCGGAGGAGCAGAGGCTCAACTCTGAGTCCCTCCTGGATATCTGAGCTTCTCTAAGGGAGAGCCCAGACACCCTACGGAGAAAATCCATTTGGGCCGTTTGTATCCACAATCTTATTCTTTCGGTCATGACCCAAAGCTCATGATCATAGATGAGGGTGGGATCGTAGATCGACCGGTGAATTGAGAGCTTTGCTTTTTCACTCAGCTCCCTCTTCACCATGACGGACTGATACAGCGCTAAAGTTCTGATAAATTATGGAGATTTACAGTTAGAATTAGGTCTGGACTTTGACTGGGCCATCTAACACATGACTGTGCTTTAAACGAACCCATGCTATTGTAGCCCTGCCTGTGTTTCAAGGCTTTATCCTGTTACAATTTGAACCTCTGATCCAGTCTTGAGACTGTTTCCCCCTCTCTGCTTCAGGTTTTCCCTGTTGTAAACGTCCCCACAACTTTGTCCCTTATGTGTCCACTGTGATTCATAATTGTCACGATGCTGTTGGTGTCATGTTTAATTTCCCGACTCACAGGAACTCAGAGTGTTACAAGTGGTGACGTCCTTAATTGTTTGTTCTCGATTAGAATAAATGATGTGTGAGCTGCCGTTTTACGAGAACCACTGCATGGATACGAACTGGAGACAAATCTTAAAAAATAAAATAAAAAAAAACAGAACATGAAATGGCTGCAGAAACCTGGAGGAGATGAATCTTCCAACAAGGAGAACAAAAGTTTGACTGAAAATGAAGAAAACTAGCATAAAAACACAAAGTCAGAGTTAAATAAGAGGTGAAGAAGAAAAACAGAAAGCAGATTTCTGTTTCTCAAGGTGAGGATTGACCAAAGCTTTGTAAAAAAAAAAAAAAAAACTTTTATTTCAGGTTTTTTTTCAGAGAGAAAAAACCCAGTAGAAATAGAAGATAAAATGACACATGATGATAAAGCACTACATCATTGCTAGTGACAGAGTTTATCTGGTGACAGAATAAATCACATTATGATCCATCTCTCTCTCTGCAGGGGACCTTCTGTCGTCTTGTGCTTTGGATCTGAAATTCAGCGCTGAATAGCTCACAGCCTCCGAGTTCAAGTTCTGCAAAACAACAACAAAAAAAGACTTAAAAAACATCACCAGGTTTTATTATTAAGTGTTTCAGAAAACAGCTGAAATGATTCAGGTGTAATTACCTCTTTTTGTTGTTGACTTTGTCTGCTAGTTTGACCTGAAAGAAATGAAGACAGGTTCATGTGGTTCACCATTTAAAGGTTTAGTCATCTTCACTCCCAAGTCGACAGAGATTATCGGCAGATTACCGGTGTGAGAGGTCGTGACTTTGAGAATTAAACCAACGATGACCAGGAGAAGGAAAACAACAACACTTCCTAGGATCAAAATCGGCAAATTGTTTGACACGTGGTTTGGTTCGCCTAGAAGAGAGGACACAACATTAGTGGAAGACCTCTGGATTATTAACACAATAACAACACAAACAATGAACTCACTGAGGGTCCCAAACTGACCCAATATCCACTTTCGCAGTGAGCCATCGGATAGTTCAGGATTCCTTGCAGTTGACTATTGATCATATTCAATTATGGATGTAAACAGTTGAAAGATATTCATGTTTTACATGAAGTGAACCAAATTAAATCTGAGCTGCCCTGTTCTGATAGATGTTCAGTGGATCATAGATTTTTTGTTGTTGTTTTGTTTGTTACATTGTATGTCGATTCATACTTTTGACATGGTTGTACTGCAAAACAAATCCCGTGAAACCATTTTGTTCTTAAAAGTCGGGGTCTGACACTGTAAAATTCCAACGACTGACAAAAAATACATCATTGCTAATTACGCTGACTATAACTGGCTCAGTCTTACCTTCAACTCGCAAATAAGTTGCATCGAAGATTCCTTTAAACTCATCATTGGGCACCCCGCAGATATAAACTCCAGCGTCTAATAAATTCACTTCCTTGATGTCCAGGAAGATGTTTGTCCCGTTGGATGTCATGTTGTATTTGTTACTTTGACCTCCGTCACAGGGCACGGCTCTGGACTCGGAGCTGGTCATGGACGAGATGCAGCCCACGCTGCCGTCGTCGGCCAGTTTGGACCACACGACGTGAGAGGGCAGGTTGCTGAGGTTGGTGCACAATAGAGTGACGTGTCCTCCGGCCCGAACCGTCACCGAGTGAAACCGACACAGTGTCAAAGGGACGCGGCCTGAAACGAGACGATGAAACGCTTGCAGAGTTTAAATTCAAGCGGAAGGAAAGAGGCGTTTTGGGTATCCAGGAGAGTCACGTGCAACCCTAAAAACAGCTTAGAAAGTATTGATTGCTCCAAAAAATACAAACGTAGATGAACTCACTGAGGGTCCAGAGTAAGGGGAGCAGGAAGGTGAAGTTTGTCATGTTGCACCTAATGAGACTCGATGGTAAACTGTGACTAGTGAGAAAGGAGGAGGCGTGTTCTCTGTCTGAACCGATTGGTCAGAAACATTTAAAGAAACAGGTGGAACAAATATTAGTGGTCGAACAAAACATTGAAAAAAAACTAAAACATTTGATTAGTAAAACAGTAAGGGTTTATGCAAAGGCAATTCTATAGCAAAATATGTTTTAGAACAGTTTGAAGTTTTGTGAGCAACAGAACTTATGTCTTATGCAACTTATGTCTAAATTGCATAAAATCACTCTGACTTCTTTTTCTTTTACTAACTACAGACGTTCAGCACACAGAATCATATCAAGAAACAGCGGAAGTGTCACTTTAGAAATCATAAAACTTGTAAGAACAAAAAAATCATACCTGACTTTTGAGAGTTGCCTGAATATGACTTATGAAATCTAACAGCGGATGCTGCAGTGAGAATCATCAATAGAAGAGTTTGCAGTATTTTTAATGCACTTTGTGCTGTTTCCGGTCTACGAAACCAGAGCCTTTAACACAGTTAATGCTTTGATACAATGCTGTATGTGCTGTCATGCAGGAAGTGCTTTTTTTCATTATTATTATTGGCAGGATATTTATATATATGCGATTTATCTTGTTGATCAAGCTGGAGATGGAAACCAGAACCCCTCCTGACCCAAAAAGGGACAAGAAAATGGATGGATTTTGTTGATCAGATCACGTTTTCTCCTTTGAGACGGTGACTTGTAGGACTGCTAGCTAGGCCTACGTGTCCAGCATTAGTGTCTGGTCCCATAAATATGTTTCTGGGGAAATTGTGAAAAAATATAAACATAATTCCAAGGCTTGTAGAAAGACTTTGTAGAAGAGCTTAAGTCGACATAGCAGCAATCATCATAGTACATTTTTTTAATTTTGAATGGGATCTGGTCTGAGCTTTTATATTTGAGGAGGAGGGACAAAAATCGAATTCAGTTCATTTGTATCTGTATCATTTTACAGATATTTTATAGTTGTTGGAGCTCCTTTTCAACTATATTTTCCCTTGTTGGGCTTTTACATTTTGATCCTAGTTAATCGAAAAATCTAGTAGCTAGTATATAACAAAAGAACTAGACCCACATAGTAATTATTCAACACAAAAAACTATGTTGTCATCACTACAAATTGAAAAACAAATTGAGTCCATAGCCCAAGCACACATTTGGAGTGAACATGTCACTTTTTTTGTTTTTTGGAATATTGAATTTGAGAGAGGTCATCGCTGAAGCCTGATGTCATTTATGACAGTAAACGTGTCTCTATGAACACGTGAAGTTTCTGAGAAGGATTTGTGAAAAGCTGGCGAAAAGATAACCAGGACATTTCTGTCAAGTTATTCAGTTTAAAATGTAAACTTTAAAGTAATGCCATATTTTTAAGATAATTATCCTGACCTTTAACACATAGGAATAATATGTCAATCATAACTGACCTGAAACAGAAACGGCTCTGTCTGAGATTTGGAAAGCAGTTTTTTTTTTCTGAAATGACACTAACGTTGTCATCATTGAGGTTTTCCCAGATGTGTTATATTAAATCAAGGGGACGGAATTAAACTGGGAGACAAGAATCGGTGAAATGCGCTCTCTCACTTCTTTGTACTCGTTAAAAACTTTCTGAACGAGCCGTAAGGGAGCAACAGCAGGTTGGGCAACACCAAATGTAAGTCCGTATCAATCGAAATGAGACATAATGAAAGTATGGGTTATTGTTTCAGCACTGATGCTGGATAGAAACAGCATCAGTGCCAAAGGTGCAAGGTTCATAATTTCCGTTAAAATTCATAACATTTTGTGCCAAGCACTTCCTGATGTCAGCCAGACAGTCAAGGAGGGGCCTAGCGCGGTGTGTTCTGCGTTTCAATTGGAAATAGAGATGGCAATCGTTTGCAAAAAGATGAAAGCAGATGTTTAACAAAAAAAAAGAAAGGCAGATGTCCAAGAATAGAGCCTTGCGGTACACCCCAGGCCAGCGCAGCACAGTGTGAGCTCAGACCACAGAAACTAACACGAAAACATCTGACAGTGATGCACGACCAAAACCAGTGAAGAGCCTCTGAGACCCTCCCACTGCTTCAGCCTTGAGACGAGGAAGTCATGATCAACGGTTGCTGACATTTGTTGCTGACATTTGTACACTACAGTCAATATTATTACCTAGAAAGTTACCAGTCTGCAAAATCCTCTTACATCTAATCTTGACCTGTCACCAGGTTCTCATTGGTCTGGTTGTGTGCTTTTTCTTCCTGCTTAAATATTGATGAGATTTGTAACAAAAACAATAGTTTGATATAAGACCAATGGCAAGGAAATGACATTTTATGGTAATTACAAGTCCACTCTATTGTTTGCTATTGCAGTTTAAGTATGATGTGCTTCAGCTCCTGGTAATCCTCCATCAAGAGTTGTTGCTCCTTTGGTGTGATGCATGTCACACTCAGATATCAGAAATCCATCAGTGAATCTGTGATTGAACTCATGGTGCATCGAGGAAAGCTGTACTGTAAGGCTCTGCTTTTCAGTTATTAAAAAAAAAAAAAAACACTGGATCAGAAGATCAGGTTTGTGAAACACTGTTTAATTAGAATGGCTGCCATAAAAAAAAACAACAAAAAAACGATACTTAAATATTTACAGATTTCATTCTTTATAAATTGAAAGGCAGTGCTGCTCTGATGCAGGCAGCTTCAAGCAGACTTTGTGGTATTTTGTTTTTCTCATCTGCCGTCACCACAGTGGAAACAAGCAGTGACGCGACTAAAGGACCTTTTGCCTCCATGTACCAGCGTTACTCTACCTCACCTCTTCACCTAGATTCAAAAAGCTTTATTTGGTTTCCTGTAGTCGTTTCTTACAACTTTCAAAATCAATGAACAGAAACCTTTTGTAACAAAACAAAAAACTGCAAAAAATGAACTTCACAAATCTTTTTTGTACTATCATTTTCTGTTTCTCATGGTGAGTCTATCTTGTAGCAGCATACAGAACACATGACTCCTTCTCTTTTTCTGCTGCTGGTCTTCTGTTGCTCTTTGCTTTTGGAGGGAAACTCAGCGCTGCGTAGTTCTGGGTGCAAGAGTCCAAATTCTGAAAAATTAAAGAACCGACAGTCACCAACTGGGAAACCTGTGGAACGGGTTTAATTGAGCAAAAATATCACTTGTTTCAAATACCTCAGAGTGTTGTGCGTTATTTCTCTGTGTTGGAGCTGGAAACAACCACAACTCTTAATACTGTCGGCATTTTTACATCACTTTCCAGTTGCAATTAAAATATTTATACCTGTATGCAAAGTCTTGATTTTGACAGCCAAACTGATGATGACCATAGCAAGAAAAATGACTACACCACCCAGGATCCAATTTAGCAGGTTACCTGGTTCTTCAATGTGATGTAAAAGACTGACTAGAAAACAATAGAAAATACTTCAGGATTCAGTATTTAGCAAGTCACTTGAAATACGAGGGATCACAATCTCACCTTCGACGTGTAAATATGTTGCGGCGAAGACTGCAGGCAAACGCTCAGCATAAAACCCACAGAAATATAATCCAGAGTCGTTCACCTCCACCCGTCTAATGTCCAGAAATACGTCTGTGACGTTGGATCTCATGGTAAATTTGCCCCGCTGAAATTTATCGTGCAACGAGGGAACTGAGTCGGAGGTGGACATGGACGAGATCCGGCTCACGTTGAGTCCGTCGGCCAGCTTGAACCAGAAAATGTGACCGGCAGCCTGGCTGAGGTTGGCGCATCTCAGAGTGACGTCTCCGTCGGGTCGGAAGGTCACAGTTTGAAACAGGGAACCTGAAACCCAACCTGAAAAAAACAAATTTTTAAAAATGTAAAATCTGTATGCTTTCTGTTGAGCTCAAAACAATGAATGTGAAACGGTGGATTGCAGTGCAGCGAGCCAGTGAAGGTGCTGAGAAAAGACATGTAGGTGTACTTACTGAGGCTGCAGAGTGAAGCGAGTATCAAGCTGAAGTTTCCCATCGTGATCACAGACAGACCCTGAATGGACTGAACTGAGCTCCAGTTGCAATGATTTCACTGTCAGGAGGTGGGGTGTTCTGCTAGTATCCGCTCAACAACCATTTCAACATTTACATTTCGTTTAAATATTACTTTGAGGCCAAAAAAAAAAGAGAGACAAAGGAAATAAATATTATTTTTACTTTGTTAAACAGAGCAGTTAAAACCTGAAACTCCCCCTTTTTCTTTGCACTTTGAAGAAAAACAGTAAGGTCATCATTTATATCAACTGATACATCATGATATTTAAATACAGTTGGAAGGTCAAAAGATCGAACAATCCAAAAGTTGCCTTTGGTCAATGTCTTTTCCTTGCAGCGAAGACGTACTGAAACGAGTCTCTCAAAAGCTGAGACCAAGAATGGCAAATGTTGTCCAACAAACAGTGCTGAGCAGGCAGGAAACATCCATTGCTTTCCTAGAATAAAGACACACGTCCCTGGGTGGGCTCGAACCACCAACCTTTCAGTTAACAGCCGAATGCGCTAACCGATTGCGCCACAGAGACGGAGGTGCTACAGTTCTGCAGGTGGTCCTGGCATGGAGGCATCACACCTGCAACATCGAAGCCTTGCTTGTCAAATCCAATACAATAACTGTGGCAAAAGAAAGAGTTCATTGGTTCAATGATGAAAAATTGCTTCAACCTCAAACACTGTTTGCGCCACATGTTTCTTGCCACACAGACTAGATTTCTATACAGTACTTACCACAGTTCGAAGGTCAAAAGATAAAGCAATCCAAAAGTTGCCTTTGGTCAATGTCTTTCTCTTGCAGCAAAGACCAACTGAAGCAAGTCTTTCAAACGCAGAGACAAAGATTGGCAAATGTTGTCCAACTAACAATGATAATGAACCGGGAAACATCCACTGTCTTTTCTGGAATAAAGACACACGTCCCTGGGTGGGCTCGAACCACCAACCTTTCGGTTAACAGCCAAATGCGCTAACCGATTGCGCCACAGAGACAGAGGTGCTGTAGGTGGTCCTGGAAAGGAGTCATCACACCTACAATATATTAGGTTTTGGAATCTAGTTTCCAAACAAACTAGATTTCTATGCAGTCTTTACCACAGTTGAAAGTAATGCACTAGACTTCACCGTCGTGTTTATTTAGACTTTCTGAAATTATCATAAAGCAAAAAAAAAGACAACAAAAAAGACTAAATACCAAGTGGTGGGGATGCTGTGGGTTTGTCATGTACGTTTGACCTCTTCTGTCACTTTCACCGTAGTTTCCACTATACAATGGTTGATTTTCACAATACAACAGATCGCCACAGGAAGTGTCCGGTCACATAAAGAAATATGAAAAATATTGCATCAAAAAAAGCAATAGAAAAAACACTTTTATAATTTAAATATTAAATGTTCTTTGTAGAATCTGAACTGCAGATGACAGACTTTCAATCTCATGTCCAGTTTCATCACTATGCAACATTCCTGTAAAAAGTTCTATCAGCTGCTTCAAGTTTTCACATCAAATGTAAAATTAACCTGACTGAACTTTCAGACCCGTTTTCCTGTGACTTGTGGCAACGCAAACAGTTCAGTTACAAAACATCAAACGAACCTTTTGTTATAGACGCTTAACCTTTTCTGATTTATGTCAGATCATGATTTCTTGGTTAATGTCAAGATGTCATAGCAAAGAAATTTTGAATAATGTCAACTTTGTATTAAAAGTGTCAGGATTTCCCAAATGAATTCATGAAAACTTACTCATTTTCATGACAGGTGTTATGTCATGTTTATGATTTTGTCATAAACATGACTGGGGATAAGTGTATGTAAATAAAAAAAAAAAAAAAAAAAAAAAAAAAAAGATTTGACATATTTTCTGAAAGTTCAAGAAATCGGGCTAAAAAAAACTTTATGATGAGAAAATGTAAGATTATTTTTAAAGATTTGGCCATGGAGCATGAAATGTCATCATTACGCGTGCAACGTCACAAGCTCACTTTGAAATCCCAGGGAATGCAGATTGAAGGAGTCAGACTTCACCAGATAGGAAAGGAAGGTTTGCTTTTGAATGGGGCTCTGCAAGTAAGTTCAGTTGCTGCAGAGAAAACAGAAACTAGTTGAAAAACCTATGCTGAGGTTAAGATCTGCTATGGCAATTATGTTTCCCTTTCTAGAATAAATATGCACGTCCCTGGGTGGGCTTGAACCACCAACCTTTCAGTTAACAGCCGAATGCGCTAACCGATTGCGCCACAGAGACGGAGTTGCTGCAGTGCTGCAAGTGGCCCTTGCAGCACTGCAAGGGCCACTTCATCATGGCCGATGATGAAAAATTGCTTCAACCTCAAACACTGTTTGCGCCACATGTTTCTTGCCACACAGACTAGATTTCTATACAGTACCTACCACAGTTCGAAGGTCAAAAGATAAAGCAGTCCAAAAGTTGCCTTTGGTCTATGTCTTTTCCTTGCAGCGAAGATGTACTGAAGCGAGTCTTTCAAAAGCCGAGACAATGAATGTCATCCACCTTAAGGAGATGATCAGCATGGCAACATCCACTGCCTTTCCTGGAATAAAGACAAACGTCCCTGAGTGGGCTCGAACCACCAACCTTTCAGTTAACAGCCGAATGCGCTAACCGATTGCGCCACAGAGACTGCTGAGTTATAATTCAGTAAACAGTATTTAAAACATAAAACATAATTCACTGTGTATGTCTTTAATGAAAAGGTTAAATGCAAATCCATCAATAAGTGTTTATTGAACAATCAGCTTGTAAGAAATGAAACAAATATCAGAAAACAAAAACCTTCAGAGCTATCCAGTCCTTATACATCATGAAGGGAAATAAATCATTTTTCAGATTGTTTTCTCCAAAAAAAAAAAAAAACACACAACAGATATTTAAATATCACCATCTCTATTGCATTCTTGATTTTCCCTTTGCTACCTCAGTAAGTTATGCTTTAGTATTAATGTTATTATACAATAAATTATTTAAAGACATTTATTCAACAATACTCTGTATTTCTGCTTTGTCTTTAGTCCAAGATGGTTCTGTTCTTCATCTTCTAATGTCAGAATAAACCACTCCACTGTACGTCACTGCGGACGATCGGCGGAGCGAAGACACATTCGAATAGATGACGGATTCTTCACTCTGTGAGAGGCGGTTGCATGAAACAATCATCCAAATTTGCATACAGCATAACGTTGAAACGATGAGCTCACCTGATCAACTGAAGTTCTTCCAGGGGCCCCTGGAGAACAATTTAAAAGAAAACCTCAGATCAACTCAACTCAATGCAAAAGTAACATTTATGTGATTTTGCACGGAGTTTCACACACCAGCAGAAGCTTTTCTCCGGGATCTACAAAGCAGCCAGGACAGGAGGAGAGTCGTGACTCCAAAAATGATGTTTGATGTCACCAGTGCAGCAACAGCTGGGTTCAGTCCACCTTCAAACAGAAGGACACGCAGTGGATAAATGTGAGTGTGAATAAATCAGAGCGTCATTGAAAAGATAAGACATTTCAGCCAGGAGAAATTGTGGTGAAATAGCGCAAATTTGAAATACTCTCACACATTTTTAGTGAAATATGTTGTTATGGTTATTAATTACAGTAACTGAGGCTAATTCTATTGGTTTTCTGCGCTCAGTTATAACTTCTCTCGACATCTCTTGGACGTGTTTTGCTGTCATGTTGTTTGTGAACTTTTTTCTTTTGTTTACCAGACTTTTGATTTTATCTAATTTTGAATTAAAATGTGTGAGCAGGCAGCTGGTTCACAATGGTTAACTGTGACTTAACCTTCTTATAGGTTGTGTCACTGTCTGTTGGAAAACTGCGACGTCTTCCTAATGTGCAGGTCCTGATGTGGACATAACATACTTTATGTCTCCTTTTTATCAGAAATGTTATATGGAATAAAACTTGATTTTTGATTCTGATCTGTGGGCCCGGATCATCAAATTCAATGCATATAAATCTTTGTGTGCAATAAATCTTTGCATTTCATTGGTCAAGCCGAAATAAATACATTTTTAAATTATGCTGTATTGTTCAAAGATTAGATGGGATTTGTAAATTTCTAGAATTTCTTTTTTGTCATTAAACCAATTTGAAGTGCACCGCTTGATAGAGACTTGGCTGTTAAACCATTTATGTTTAATTTTACATTGAGCGCCTATTTCATTGTATGTTATTTGACTCTTTTTTTATGTGTTTTCCACATAAAACCAAATCAATCTTGTCATACACATGATGTATATCTTGTGAATCTCTTACTGTCAAAAACCGTGGTCACATTTCCAAACTGCGTCCATCCGCACACGGCGGCGGCGCAGTAGTCGGTTCCACCTCCGTCAGAGTCGACGTCTCTGATGAGGAGCTTGTGAACGCAGGTCGTTCCTCCGCGCTCGGTTCTCTTACAGGAACCGTTTGTTTTCCCAGACACGTGAATGACTTCCGGAGCGGAACGCTGACAGGTCTTCAGCCACATCACGCCGGTCTCCTCCGCTGTGCACTGAGCGGCGCTGAAAGTGCAGCTGAAAGGCGCGGCGACCTCTGACCCGACCGACTGGGATTTCGGCGGCTGGATAACAAAGTGGTTCAGCTTCACGCCTTGGAGGAAACAAAACCAAATCAGTCGTGTTCAGACGAGCCATTTATGGGTGCAAACTAAAACTAAATCGATGTGGGAATAGACTGAATACCTTGTAGCATCAACAAGGTTCCCGACCCAAACTGGATGTAATGTAGTCGCAAAACTCCACAGAAGTAAGTTCCAGCATCATCCCAAGACGCTGCAGATATGGTCAGGTGATTATTGATCCCAACGGAATAGACTGAGTAGCGATGTTTCAGCTCATCATCGACCACACTCCATTTGTAGAGAGAAGAATAAGTTGCGACCACCTGCAGTCTTCTGTCTGCTGTCAGTTTGTACCACACTCTATTATCAGTGATATTCTTTAAGACGCATTCGATGGTCACCGATTCTCCGAGCTTAAGTGTTCGTGCCGAAACGGGCTGAGAGACGTCACTGAGCTCTGCTTCACCTGTAACAAAACACACAAGATTATCGTGTTTGTGCACCACACAGGGAGAAAGAAAGATTTCCTAATCTATGTTTTATTATATATATATATTTTTTTGCTTGTACTCACACAGATAACAGAGCAGGAGCACGGCGACAAAGAAAACCATCTTCACATCTGCTTCAGTACTTCCACTTATTTGCAGCAGTCAAGCCTACTGAAGTGGCAGAGAGTTAGCATGCAGACTTACTGACACCAGGATGTTCTACATTCTGCCACATCTTTCAGCTCTGATTGGTTCAAAAAGCACAATCTGTCGATTCCTGAGGAAACAAGAAAAACAAAAGAGGTTATTTAAAGCGACTGAATGACTCAGACTGTTGTGGTTAGGGCAGCAAAATGGGACGTTTAAGGGTTTCAGTGTGAAACAAGCAAGAGAAATACATAGGGTGGAAATGTTTACCACCAAAACTACAATTATTCAACCCTTTAGTTAATTTCAGTTCCAATGAATAGTCGGAATATTTCTTTACAAGCTAATTGCGTCTGGAGATTTTTTTCTCTCAGTTTCTTAGTTGATTAAAACTTTGATTTTAGCTTCATTTTCAATTGAGACAAATGAAGGCCCATCATACCTTATGTTATGTCGTTCCGTGGGCAACATGTTCCAAAGAAAATATTCTCAAGCATTTATTTATTTTATTTTTTTAACCAATTAAACCTCACCTTGTTGTTGACATTTGAATTTTAGGAGCTGATCATTCAGCACCAGCTGTTGCATTGATTTCTCCAAACTTTGAAAGCCAACGATTTCTTTTCAAAGCATTGATGAAGCGATCCAGTGCTGCACATTTACAGTCAGCATCAAAAAAGCGGAACATCTCAGGACTGATGCTGAGGCAGCCTGTCAACCGCAGACATAGAAACATCTAGGACAGCAGGTGTTCTGAATAGCTTATCTCTACTTTTGATCCCCGTGAAGGTAAAACAGATGCTTATCTCCAAAACGCCTCGACTCTCGTTGCTCCGCCTCCATTTTACTGATGGCAGATTAGGTGAAAGCAACAGTTTACATTTTTGGTTGATGAAAAACCATCATGTGCTTCTAATCGCAGGTCTGTTGACCTCTAGACAGGATTTATGGCTGACTCCAGATTTTTCTTTGCCAACTCTCAAAATAATTTCTTTGATAGCACTTATTGATGATTGATCCATACTGAGTACAATGAGAAACTACAAGGAACACGTTAAAACAGAATCAGTGTTAGCTATGTTATATATTCTATGTCATTTACTCTCAATTAATGGCATTAATAACAAAAAAGAAGCCAGTAAGTCTATAGACAGACCTTATCAGGGTTACACAGAAACGATTGCTGACTCATTCAACAAACAGTGTAGAGAAAAAGCACAACGGCTCTATTTCCATGACAACTGAAAGCACTGGGAAGACATATTCTCTCTGAGAAACGCAATGATCAGTCACAATTTGTATCTTATGCTTTATTTGGATGGATTTATTGTGATAGTCATCCAGTAAAGAAACAAACCTTTCCCTTCTCACACAGCCGTCCTCTCATTCACGTCACTTTTTTCAAGTGGGATGAATAAAAACGACCGGCAAAAACAAATGTTGCAAGGAAAACCCGCGAAGGAAAGGCAAGTTTATTCGTGCAGCATCATTCAAAGAGAAATCATTTCAAAATGCTTTTCAGGACATCCAAAAAAATAAGCGCAAAGGGATTGCACTGAAAGAATATTGTTAAAATACAGATATCAAAGACATGGAAGAACCAAATGTTCTTAAGTCGGATTGTTAGATCAGCACACCGAAATCTTTTCAGCCCTGAATTAAAGGTCTCTGCACATCTCAGGTTTTCAAGAAGCAGGAGTTCATTCTGTAACCAGTGAGCTTCAGGCGTCGATAACAGTATCAATGGAAATACAAAATGAAAACCTCACACCTCTAACACAAACTCCGTATTGCATCTTCAGAGACACGAACACGGAAATGTCCGCCTTTTAATATCTGCGGTAAACACATTCACTCCAGACTCCGTCCTTCTGTCTCATCGATCTGTTGGTCGCCATGGCTACGGCAGTGCGACAGCTCCTCTCTCCGCTCTGCAAAGACAAAAAGTGTGTGTAGTCGCTGCAAAGTGCAGGAAGACTGTCACTGGATGAAGCTTCAATGTTAAAGGTCAATTCACCTTCACGTTGCGCTTTGGTCGGGACTCTGCTTGTGACAAAGGAAATGATTAACGACAACATCAATTATTAATAATAAAAGAAATCTACAAGTGAAATCAAAAACATTTGAAAACTGCGTTACCTAAAGATATGCCTTTTGTTTTCTTGGTGATTCTGCACACTGACAAAGCCAGTGAGAGACTGAGGGCAGAGGTGAACACACAGGCTGCACTCCAAACAATGATAACTGAGTCATCTGCATAGAAGAAGACAATATCTGTCTTTTATTTTGAAAGGACAAGTTGAAACGATTTTATAGGCTTAATTTAGAAACTACGATATCGGTACTCACGGGTTAAGTCCAGGTTGGTTGTGTTTCCGAGCATCATCCGTCCGCATGAGGCGACGGCGCAGTGGTAGTCCACAGCGTGAGACGCTTCATCCAGGCCATTCAGCGGCAGGTCGTACACACAGCTGTGTGCTTTCGTGTTTGCTTCCTCGTCACTCAAATCGTCGCTGCTTTTGTGGGTGTACATCAATTTCGGGAACGAGTCTCCGGAGCCTCTGAACCAGTAAAAGCCGTGCTTTCCGTCGTGCGTCCCATTTCGAAACGCGCAGTGGCTCGTCTCGGAGCCGGAGCCTTCCACGTGGACGGTAACGCCCTCCAAGAACTCAAACGAGTGAGAAGACAGGCTGACACAGTAGTAAGTAGCCGAGTCCGTCACCCGCACGCTCAGTATCTTCAGGTGGAATCCGCTGCCGCCGGGTTCCAGTTCGAATCGTGGATCGCTGGTGATCAGGTCGCTGCGAGGAGAGCCGTCCCGTTTGTGTTTGTAGAACTCGGACATGAGCTGGGCTTTTTTCCCCGCGCTTTTTTTGAACCAGTAAAAGATCAGTCCGCTCTTGCCTTGGAGGAAACATTTCAAGGTCACGTTCCGGCCAACGTGAACCGACTTGAAACCCAAAGGGGACGACAGTACCACAGCTGCCGAAGGAGCCGAAGAGAAAGTTTGAGAAGAAAATCAAAAGTGGCTGCAAACTTATTAAAAATGCTAAAAATCCATTTAAAAAATTGAAAGAAATGTAATTACATACCAAGTGTTGCCAGGAGCAGATAGAAAATCTTCAGAGCAGTCATCATGTTTAAATGGTTGCGCTGGACTGATACAATCTCTCTCAACATGTTCTACTTTCTTTCGAGCGAACTGGATGCTGCCACCCAATCAGAGATGAGGAGGGAGTCAGTTAACTGCCTGCTGTTAATGCTGGGCAGCAGACAGGAAGATGTGATGACAGGATCGGTTGAGATGCTGTCAGAAGTCATTAAAGTCCTTTAAAAATTTCTGCAGAGACGAAGGTCTACATCAGTGTCAGGGAAAGCCACTGAACTACATACAGGCCCTGTGCGACAAACGTTCATTAGATTTATTTGACTTGTATATCATGAGATGCTTCTGTGTTTTATTTTACTTAAAAATCTGTTTTGCATACATGCATAGATATATAAAAGATTCAGCAAACGTGTCTAAGTAAAACAAATTCTGATATTTTATTTTTGTTTTATACTTATACAGGAGAAGTTAAATTGTATATATATTTTTAACACATATTTAGATAATGGTCAAAGGTTCTGCAAGGTATTTTCTGAATTTTGGTAAATCGGTAAAACGTGTCTGTTCAAAGAAACTTGCAGATTGGAGAGCATCTTAATAAATGAACATTACTGCCGATAAATATCTTTATTAGTAGAAATATTCACAGAATGCTGCTTTGCTTCATTTTTAACAGGTTCTGCGAAGCTTCTTGATGGTGGCAGGCGTTTGCCTCAGCATTGGCAGGTTGCTGGTTTGATCCCTGCTCCACCCTCCTGTTGGACACTTCACCTGCCTTTCCTCCTGGTGGCGCTGGTGCATCGCAGCCTTGTTTCAGTCAGAACATCCCTTGCTGTGGCAACGATCCACTATCTTGCCACCATCAGCGTGTAAATGGCTGAACAACTGTACAGAGAATCACTTTGGGGTCGTCTTTAAATAACCTTTCCACGCGTGCTCAAAGCAGCCACTGATTTGTTTACTCACACGGCAACTGCTTTATTTTTGAGTAAAATGAGAGAAGATTTCAAATCTCACAGTACTGTTCCAACGTTAAAGAATGAGTGTGGAAGAACTGGTGCATTTCCCACAATACATGGAAATACTGAAGCAACATCTCAAGACATCAGACAGGAATGTAAAGTTTGGGATGAAATAGGTCAAGGGCATCAAAACTCGGTTTCATTATTCATAATTACTTAAACTCCAAACTTGCCAACTAAAACACATTTAAGACAAAAATCTTCCCGATCTCTAACGCTTCACAGAGGAGTAAACACATTCGGTCTCTTGACTTTTCTTCTGCCTTCTTGGTCGGGTGGGCTGGTTGACATTCACAGCGGCGTAATGGAGAATGTCTTCCTGATAACAGGACACATCAGAGATAATGAACGAATTTTCCTTCAAAACATAGTTATCTCATCGGGACATGTCGAAGAGATTTGCGTTTAGGCATTCATTCAACGCCTTCGGTTGTATTTACCTCTCCATCTGCAGCTGGACAAGACGAAGACTTTCCTTGAAATACTGTGAAAGACAAAGGCTTTTTTTTAAATGAGGAAATGTGTTTAACCTGAATACAAAGCCAGCAGGTACCTGGAGTTTGGCAGCTGTCTTTGTTGTGTTTCTTGTACAGTTTGGCGGCCAGTAAAACATTTAGGACGATGGTGAAAATCAAAGCTGCGCATAAGAAATACATCAAATGCACCAGCGAGTTCGGCTCACCTGCAGATCCGAACACCAAAAACACAAAGTTTTAGCTTCTCTGTTTTTGCAAATAAGCAAAAAGAAAATACCAAATTATTCAGTGAAACAACTCACTTTCCAAATCCAATTTCATCCCCTTTCCAAACACTATCCGTCCACAGGAGGCAACAGCGCAGTAATATGTCCCAGCGTGAGACTTTTTTATGTTCTCCATTGGCAGTTTGTACAGACAGGTGTGAGTCTGCGTGTCGGGACTCATCAGACATTGGTCCGCCGTGACTCCACGGAGATAAAGGAGCCCTGGATCGTATTTTGAGGACTGTCTGAACCAGTAAGCTCTGTGTTCTTCCTGGCAGCTCCCAGTTTGGACCGTACAGTTCAGAGTCACGGAGTCTCCGGGCCGTGCGGTTTCAGACGGCGCCTGGTGGACCAAAGCTTCGCCTCCCGCAGCTGAATCTTGCACGACGACTGTAACACCTTTCACAAACTTGAGCAGGAACGAAAGGCAACTTGCGCAGAAGTATGTTCCCGTGTCTGACGGGTGCAAATTGGAAATGTTTAACCGACTCTTCCCCTGTTCAGTTTCCAGACTGAATCGTGGTTTGTCTTTGAACGCCCCGTAAAAAGTACCTCCTTCCTCTAATTTGTAACTCACAGAGATCAGGTGTGGTTTCTCTCCCAGGGTCTGTTTGTACCAGAAATAAGTGGCTTCTTTTGCATCAAAAGAACATTGCAGAGTCACGGTGCCACCAACATCAGCCAATATAAAGCCCGTCTTGTGATCCACAAATGTCTCCAAATCACTCATCTCGGCTAAAATAAAGGAGAAAGTCACATTTCAATGTTAAAATGGCCGCCAGATATAAAGTGGTTTAATAGCCGACGCGTTGCTTACCCTTGTTCCACAAGAAAACACATGTGAGACAGAAAAGAGCCTCTGACAGCATCATCCTGCTGAAATCGCCTCGTTGAATGAAAAGCACTCAGTCACCTGCCGAGTGGCTACAAATGGAACATGATCTCATTATCACAGCCACATGCAGCAGCAGTCTGACCTGAAAGAAAACGCGAGTGCCTAAAGTTAAAAAAGGATCCTCCCATTTCAATTTTCAAATACAGAAAAAAAAGAAAGAAAGAAACAAAGAGAAATGAGCAGTTCGGTCAGGTGGACAAAAAAAGTTTAGTCCTGCGCATCTTTAGGTGAGAGAGTTAGTATTTTTATACAGATTTTTAAAACTATTTTAAAAAAAAAACTTTTAACAAAACTGAAATTCAATTGGAGCTGAGCACAGCTATATTACAAACTTATAACCTTTAGCAATAAACAGTTTCTAACCCTCCTCATACATGTAAATGTCACACCTTTTAATAATTTCTATATGTATAGCAAACCATGTTTATAATTTTCCTTAAAAAAATAAAATCTTTAAGGGCAAACGTTTGAATTTGTCTTAGATTTTCTAAAATCAAAACAATTAAGTGAGTCAAAAATTTCACTGAAGTCCATCCAACAAAAAAACTAACACATCGGACCTGGTGGACATGTGTCTGAGGCTGCAGCCCTTTTGTTAGATGAGAATGACAACATTATGATGAGGGAAGCAATCAAATCTCACAGTGGAATAGGTGCAACTAAGCTGCAGTGTTGTTGGAGCAACACACGTTCATCTGAGTAATTCAGAATCTGGTGTTATTTTCTTGGATAGCCATTGGTTGAAGTTTAAATCCAGTGAGCAACAGCTGATGAGAAATGTAAGGAGAATCTACAAATTGGTAGAAGATGATGGAGGCAACAGAAGGTCAAATAACAACTTGCTGCCACCAAACCATATAGCACCGTCTTTAAATGCACAACACACACACACACTGATGTCAGCTAAAGACAGGAAACTTACACAGACTCAACAGCATGTGGACAAGAACTGGTTTTTGCAGTGATATTCAGACAGAAGGATCAGAATTTGACACAGAAGGAAATATGGATCCGTCATGCTTTGTGTCAAAGGTCAGGGCCAATGACCTTTGACACATGAACTACATGGGAAGTACACGGGCTTCACATGATCCTTTGATCCCCACCAGATTGCTGTTAAATCCCCATGTCAACCACTAATTTATAACACAACCAACCAAAATCTTAAGCACAATTCATAATTGGTGATAAAAAATGAGCAATGCATTCTCAAGTGGTCATTTCTACAGATTAATATTATTTTCATGTCCCTCGATCAAGTTTTTTTTAATGAACCATTAAACATTTTACACAGAAATTAATAAATTCATACAAAATAAATTTTTCATCAATAAGTTACCAAAATATGTTCATAAGGTCATAATGTCTACATGTGGAATAACATCAAGCTTGTGTCAAGTTCAAAGAATTATTTAAAAAATATACATGTCACAGTTGACCATTTTATTCTAAAACTGCTCAATTTCCTCAACCATAACCTAATTCTTTTGTTATTTTTCAAAATAAAACACATATCACCTAGCACGTCTAGCGCTAAGTAATATGAGCCCCCTTGTGTTACTTTATCAAACACAAGGGGGCGCTCAAATCCGGCTGAAGAGTGTTGCTCAGGATAGATCTGAACACTGTCAAACTTATGAAATAAAAAAAACTTCATAAATTGCAAAAGTATGTTTTCAGACACCTTGATTTTTTTTTTCATCTACAACATTTTAGGTTTAATGTCAGTTCAGTGCGTTTTAACTAAATGACACTTTGGTATTTACTGATGTGCAAAACCATGAGGTCCTTTATTGTTGTTATTCTGGGTACTTAGAAGACGAGAAGCTGCACCTGATGGCACCAAAGCAACAATTTCCTCCCTGGAACCACAACAGCAAAAAACAAAGAAACAAAAGGCTCATAAATATGCATATCAGTCTCACGAAAACCATATTGAGATCTAATCTACAAAAAGTAGACCGCACAGGAAGTTGAAAAGATTCTTCAGCTCAGTATGCGATCATTTCTCTGCACAGCAAATTTGAAAAGAAATCTCCCACTTTGGAGGTTTCTTGATTCTTAAGACCAGGAAGTGAACAAACCTCAGCTCGAATGATAAAATTCAAAATATTTCCAAACGCAACAAAGTCCCCTAACTCAGTTTTACCAAAAGGATTAGTTGTTTTATTTTATTTTATTGTAAATGAAATTGTCTCTTGCATTTACTCAGATCATCTTTGTCCGACTTAAAAATAATAATAACATAAATAAAAGAAAAATCCAGCAACAACAACAGGAAGGAAGGGGTTAAAAACCTTTTCACATCTTTGCACATCAGTGTTACAAATAAACAGTTGCCTGAAAACTTCAGGAACGTTGAACAACTTCTATAATATTTCTTTATTACATTTGTAACTTGACTCTTAATCCTATCAAAAAACTGGTCTTCGCTCAGGTTGAGTTTCTTGTATTTTCAGTCAGAGTCTCACTTTGAATCTGCAGAGACTTCCTGCCAGAGACCACAAATAGCCCGGGGGCGGGGGGTCCAACGTGCACGGCCTGTGAAGACTTGCCAACCTCACCAGTCGCTTCGGTACATTTTGACTCGTGCTGCATCCATACATAATGCAGGTGGTTTTGTTTTTAACTGTACAATGTTCTGTGATGAACACACATTTATCAGAAACATGGACAGCATTTGTTTGATGCTGTGGAGGAGATCAGATTTTGTTAATTTATTTACATTTTTTTCAAATGAATGAAAACCACACGTTCGCCACGTTAGTCTCTACTGCTTCAGAGTAGAGTACGTGCACGCATCGCCGGCTTCGCTCTGCGCTCCTGGTCTGATAACGTTCTTCTCACTGACGGTGGCGTAGTGGAGGTGACCCGCATCCACAGAGTCCTGCTTGTCAGAACAGGGCAGTTTTCAGAACAGATCTCGTGACAAATTGCACAAAACTTTGTAAAAGAATGTCTTTTTTTTTCTCACTATGGCTGTTGAGAACTTTCCCAACTGCCAAGGCCATTTTGCAAACACCAATTTTATTTAAGAAATTTAACAACCTTTGTTATCTGTTGTTTGACTTTATTTGTAGTTGGAGATAAAATACTCACTTGGGCTTTAGGAGCTGAAGCAGCAGAAGATCTCTCTGGAGGATCTGCTTCAATAAAAAACAAAAGGGGGAAGTGTTTTATTTTTTTCTTGTTTTCTATTTCAAACACTTTATCTAGCAGGTAGAGTGCTTCTATAAACATAGATCTAGAGGACCAAAACTAATGAACTGGTTATTTTTTATTGTTATTCTCATCTTCTCATTGTGGCTTACTACATAAGATTAAACATTTCCTGGGCTGGAAGGCCACTCAGTGAGGAAGAAGCCATTTCACTCAAGATGCATCATAACGATACAAGTTTCCAGTTCAGATCCACCGTTTAAATAGGGGAAATGTTTCGTTGTCAAATGAAGCCGTCATTTAAGTACTAGATCAAAAATGACCATTGCAAACCTTTTGGTAAGATTAAAAGGGTTAAATAGTTGCTTTGGCAGCAATTAGGTCCTCTTAAAAAAAGGAAACCATGACAAGAAAAGATAGAGAAGACATGAATGGTTTGTTAATCAGTTATTGTCAGTTATTAACGGGCATAAAAAGTATTTGATCTGACAGTCGACTCAGAACTATTGGTAGATGAATGAGTGTCTAGACACAGTTATCAGAAATATTTTATAACAAAAATATTTATAGTCTCAGGTTTTTAGCTGAATTGTGGAATTCCATAATATAAGTGATTATATAAAAAGAACAGATTATTATTATTATTTAAGGTCAGTCAAGTCTGCTGGTTAGCTCAATAATAGTAATAGTTTCCTGTCTCCTGACCACATCACTTTGGTCTAACATGTATCATACGTATATGACACACCTTCACGATTGCATTTCTCCATCTTGTACAGCTTGTGGGATGTGTACGCCAACAGACCCATCAGGAGGACGACGAAGGCCAAAGTTCCTGTCAACACGTACGGCAGGACAGAAGAACCCGGGTTTTCTGTAAGGAGACAGAGGTTAGGAGATCCCACCACCACCTCAACTCATCACGCAAAGTTGCGTTTGCCAAACGATCTGCTACCGTTGTAGTCCAGCTTGGTCCCGTTTCCAAACAGGATGGATCCACACGAGGCGACCGCGCAGTAGTATGTCCCGGCGTGAGACGCTTTCAGGTTCTCCAGCGGCAGGTTGTACACGCAGGTGTGAGCTTGTCTGTTCGGTTTCATCTCACACTGGGTTCTCCCGTCCCCTTGCGCATAAATGATTCTCGGATTGGATTCGTTAGAGTCTTTTAGCCAGTAAACTCTGTGTTCTCCACCCCAGATCCCAGTGTGGACAGTACAGTTCAGCGTGGCAGAATCTCCCGGATGAAAGGTTTGGAATTCTGACTGGTAGACTGACGTTTGGAAGTTTAATGCTGAGTCCTTTACCTGGATAGTGATGCCCTCCAAGAAGTCGAACTCAAAAGAGTGGCTACTTACACAGTAGTAGACAGCCGAGTCTGATGTTTGGACATTTGAGATCTTCAAGTTGTTTTTGCCAACGCCTGTGTCCGGTTGGAACCGTGGATCGTCTTTGAACGGACTTTTCACAGAGACTCTGCTAGCATGTTTCAAGAATTCCGACATCAGCTGTGGTTTCCGTCCCGGACTTTGTTTGTACCAGTAAAAGCCTATTGCAGAATTTTCCTGATAGGAGCATCTCAAAGTCACATTCCGGCCAACATCGACGGCTTCGAAACCTAAAGCTGACGATGATGGCGCCAGACCTGTCACAAACACTGGAAAGGAAACACATAAGAATAGTAAGTGTTGATGAGTAGAAACGCATTAGAGTCGAACAGAAAACACCACGCAACTTACTCAGGTTCCCCAAAAGCAGACATATCGCATAGCCAGCACATACTGGAAGATCCATTTTGCTTAAGGGGTTTTGCCTCACTGATACGATCTCTTTGGTTGCTCCACTTTCAAGAGACAAGACTGTGTATGATTGGCCCACCATAAATGTCAGAACACTCACATGTTCTGTGTCTGTAGATAGTTTTCATGCTAAAAACATTTAGTGTCCAAAACAAGTCAGAGTATTTTTAGTGTTCAATTTATAAACCCAGTAGAGATCCGGTGAAGTTGCTGGAAACATAAATCTGTTAATGATGTCTTGATATTTTTAATGATTTTTTTTTATGCATTTGGATTTTCTAATCTGACTTTGGAAGGGGGAACTTAAAGAGACGGATAAGATCAGACGTCAGCGCTAACAGGCTGCTGAAAGAGAAGGTGTTGTCACCCTGCTTGTCTTCCTGACCTCAGTGGTGTGCCTCATTTTTCTACAAGTTTTTCCTCATCATTTACATACAGATCACGTGTGAAAAAAAAAAATCAAGTCTACCCCCAGAAACATTCTCGAAATAGACTTTGACTGGGCCACTCATACATGGATTCACTATGGGCAAAATAATTCCATTGAAGGTCTGGCAGCACGTTTCTGACCATTGTTCTGCTGGGAAGCTAACATGTGCCGCGTGTTGAGCCTTTTGTTTCAGCATTTTCTACATTTAGTCATCATGCTTTCAGAAAAGCTTCCTGAAAGCATGATGCTTCATGTGTTGGTGGTGTGTTTTTGGGGTGATTGGGCAATGTTAGTGTTCAGAAGGTTACTGTTTTAGTTTGTCCTGTAACTGGAGAGTTGGCATTTCAGCTGCTGTGTGTTTGGACACTTCACCTGCCATCTTTGGTACCAGTAGCACCGTCTGTATGGCAAAAATGTGGCTCTGCAGCATCATTGCATGAATGTCTGAATAAAATATTCTGGAGGCCTCTGGGCTGGAAAAAGTACCAAACAAAGTAGAGGCCACTTACACGTTATGCTATTTTTGATATTGGCAAAAGATTCAGTTTTTGTCATATTTGCTGTCTTTCTACATGAGTTTGAAGCAAAGTGCAACCAGAAATGATTTTTCCTATCAATTAGGAATAACTGAGCCAACTTCACTCTTCAAGGCCAGACTCAGTTACCGAACTGGTACAGCAGGTCCTTTAACACCACATTTAAACAGGTCACTGTGGTTGGAGGCTTTATGCTAACCTTGTTGTGCTTACGCTCAGCAAGAACTAGTTTCCATCATTGGAAACTTACCTGACCGTAGGTCACACCGCCTTTACCGCAGTGTGTACAGTAAATGTACAGTAAGCTATTGTTATGAAGATATCTTTTGGATACCACTGCAGTTCTGCCGTGTCTGTACTTTGTTGAGGTTTAGAGATCCTGAAGCATGTTGCTGATCAACTCAGAGTGGAAAAAAAAAGACAAACTAACAAACTTTAGTTTCATCAGGATTTATTTTACTGTCATTTTTTAGACTCTTATTTCTTTTTGCTCGTTGCACTGGAGAACACACTAACGCTGACCAGTTCGCATAATGGAGATCATCAACGTCTCCTCTCTGTATGTGACAGATGGATATGAGGTGAAAAAACGCAAATGCAAACAAAAACAGCGCAGATTAAAACTCAGCTGACAAATACAATATTTTGTTTTAAAATGTTTTCAATACTCACAGATTTTACAGAAGAGCAAAACAGACATTTGACGATTTCATTTTAGAGCTGTTCTTTCTGCTCTGAACAAATTCTCTCAAGAGGCAAAGACCAGCTGTGATTGGCCGAGCTAGCCGGTTTGGTTTGGGACATTTAGACCATAAAGCAACTTCTGGTTGTCAATATAAAAGTAGACGCTGGTTGCATGTTAGCATCTGTACATGTTGTACTCTGGTCTCAGAGCAGATTCTCTAAGAACTTTTGTAGGAAAAATAATAAAAACTAAAACTGAGGCATTACGCAACTTTGTCACTGAAAAGGACAACGAAATTCTAGGAACATAAATTTCAAAAACACAGGACATCCATATTTTGTTGGATCCTTGGATGATTGATTGATAGACTTGAACCAAATGACTGGCTTGTTCTTACTGTCTGTGCAGAGCTGAACGACTGAATGTTGATTAAATATTCAACTTCAAAGGGTATTTCAGAAGGAATACATATTGCTGGATTGTTGGCCTTGGAGACAGGATTTAGATTGAGAACCCAATAAAAAGACAAATAAGTAACCCAATACAATTTCTGGCTAACTGAGGCCAGGAATATATGCAACACCTGCCAACAGTAAAGAAAAAAAAAAAATCAAGATTACACAAAACCCAACAAAATCTTCAATACATGCTGTGGCTCATCTCTTAAATCCTGATTCAAAACAATGATTCAAATCCTTAATCCTGGTGAATCAGCAAAGCTGAAGACAACAAGCGTTCCTGATGAGAGTTTTCCAAGTCCAGTAAAAGAGCGGATCGTATGGACCCGGGTCAAGATGTACTCTTACATTAGACTAACATGAACCAGAGATCAGGTTTGGGCCACTGAACATGAAGTTGGAGAATCCAAATCAAACAAACAAACAAAAAATCTCTCAAATAAAATAGCTATTATTACTGACTTGGAACAAAACACATTTTCAAATATGAAGCAAAAGATGTTTCAGAGCCTTTTTGTGCTTCTTCATTTGTCACACACATTACACAACAGTTGTCTTTCTGTTGGCTAAAATGGGTCAGAGGCGCAGACCACCTCGCGGTAACATGACTGCTGCTTGTTCCACTGCGCTTGTGGTTTTACTAAAGTACATTTGGGTCAGTTCTGTCCAGATATGTAGTCTGTGGGTTTCTGTGATGCTGAACTATGGAAACAAATGGCATCACTTGGGCACATCGGCAGCACAACTGAACTGTCACAAGATAACCAAATTAGAACAGCTCGAATACAGGGAGATGCTAACTCCTTTTACTAACAAGGAGTTAGCATCTTTTGCCAACTCCTTGTTTGTGGGTTTGTAGGGGCCCACAAACCCTCCTACTTCAATATATAGTCTGTATGAGCTGCAGCAGTGGTGCAAAGTCATCTTTTTAGTTTATTCTGTCACTAGAGACATGACTACTGTGTTGGTTTCTACTGCAAAACTCAAAGAATGGATCGTGAGGAGAACCAGTGGCCCAGATCTGTTGAAAGCAGGACGAGCTACAACCGCACACATCCTGTCAGGAGCGGTGGGGCCGACTGAACCACTGGGGCTGAGGTCACTGCTGGCAGCTCCTTTTCTGTTTGTTTGTTTGTTGCTGTTGTATTTTTGAAGTCCATTAAGCTTGCTATATTAGTCACCAACCGGAGATTAACGACACTTCATTACCAAGAGACCAATTGGCTCAAATTTGACCACTGCGTGCAAACAAAACAACAATGTCCTCGCTGATTTACCAGCTTTACTGTAAAATGCTTTTGTTTTAATGCAATCCTCACACAAACCGAGCACAGAAACTGTGGTGTGTTGTGGCGAAACTTCAAAACCTTCAACAGACAACTTTCTACGTCAGCTAACCGCAGCACATGCAAGCTCTTCCCTCTCTAGGTTCACCTTCTATGTTTTGAACAGAGACGATGCTCAGTTGCATTCTGAAAATCTTAAGCTTCACCTGTATTCAGAATTTTTAATCTTTTTTTACACGTGCTAATTTTGCCTGACTTGCATCACAACAACACCTAAGGTTTCAGGGATGCTCTTACAATGTGTGTTAACTTCTGAAGCAGTTGAGGAAGGACTTTTACTGCTCTCTGCTGGCTGACTTCCTAACTGCACATCTAAATATCTCAGCCAAATGCTCAAAATGTCACATTATCGACACGACTGAAGTACTTTTATCTGAAAAGTCACTATGGCAACCTTCGCTTCATCACAATGCTCTTTTAGTGCGTAAATGTTAATATTTGTCTCATGTTTTGCATGCGACAGCAGCAAAACACGATCTCTGCGACTTGGTGGAGATACGATCCTGTTAAACCTGAAATATGCTGAACTTTGACCTCGGTGCCCTGCGGTCTGCTGAGTGACAGGCATGTCTGTGTGGTTCCATCTGACTGAGCAGAAAGCAAATGTAACATCAAAGCTGACAGTAACTGACTTTGCACACAAAAAACAAATCTATAAAAAAAAAATCATCCCATATTCAGTCGACTTTATTTGGTCAGGAACAAAAAAATCACTTTAGCAACTTTATACACGCTGCACATGTGGTCCCTTCTTTGACTTTTTATTTTTTAGTAAAATAGCAGTGTAAACAAAACTCTTTCTGAAGTTGGAAAAGGCTCCAACCAATGCATTTAAATATGCACATGAAAAGAAACACAGGTTTTACCAGTTTTTCTGTCTGTTTTGGGGGGTTTCTAGGAAAAATTACATTGAATTTCCACAACAAAAAGACACTAGAAGTACGAGTACTACATTTTTTCAAATGTTATACCTAATCTTAATATCCAGTAAAAGTTAATATGTCCACCTTTCTTGTAAAAAAAAAAAAAAAAGTTTAATGGTTTAAAAGCAAAAATGAAAAGTTGTGTTTTTCCAAAAGGTTATACATTGGCAGTTCTAGGCAAGCTTCAATTAGCTTGACTGAGGTAAAAAAAAAATTTAAAATTAAAACCTGAAACCCTCTGCCTGAGTGCCGTCAGTACCGACGCAATAAGAAGCTCAATGCATGTTTCAGGGATGCCCAAGTTATCTCTTAGGTAGGTCAAAATAAAAAAAAAAAAAAAGAGCTTAGAAAACCAGTCACATTATGACTGATCCATCTCCAGTTCAAACCAGAATGTGCATGTTTTTGTTGTTTGCTTCTCCACAGATCTCAGACAGCAAAGTGCAGCAGAGTCTGTTGGGTTTAAAACCTTCAGTCACTTCTGGTTGGAGTGTTTCACTCTGGAGTAAACTGGTTCCTCCTCTCGGTTCTTCTGTCTGTTCTTTGTATCTGGCTTCAGTTTGAAATCCAGGGCTGCATAATGAATCGCAGTTAAGACTTCGTCCTGCAACACAAAACAGATCTAAATATTGGGAGTCTGTCCACAAACTCAGACTTAACTCATGGCTAACCTGAGGGTCAGCAGCATTTCCTGAATCTTGATGTGATCCTTGATGAGAGAGAGAAAAAAATATCATCAGATATCATCAGAAAAACATGAATCGCCTACTAAATATAAACTGGTTGTACCTTCTGAATGACTTATTTTTCTTCTGGAATGTCGACAAATGACAAACATCAGGATGATGTTCAAGATCAGAGACGCAGCCAGAGATGCAGCCCCTCCATGCATCAACGCAGGGTCAGGGTGTTTCTCTGAGAAAAAATATAAAGCACTCTTGCAGATTTTTTTGGGGGAAAAAAAAGAAACAAACTTAAAACTTACCTCCCACATTTAGTATTGTTCCTGGCCCGAATAGAATCTGTCCACACGAAGCCACAACGCAGTGGTACATCCCGGCATCAGACATGGTAACGTTCCTCCTCGGTAAGCTGTACACACAGCGGTGGACAGCAGGACCGTCCTCTGGGCTCCTTGCACACGGACCGCTGCTCCGTTTCGTTGTGTACAACGTTCCCAAACCGGATCCCTCCGAGTTCTTCCTGAACCAGTGAACGCTGTGGCCTCCGTTCACGGTTCCAGTCAGTATGGTGCAGCTCAGAGTCACAGAGCCTCCTGGTTGGGCAGAGACGGAATCCGGCTGGCGGAGGAAAGTCTTGCAGCTGGAATCTAAGGCGAGATGTTCTAAGGCTGTCAATAAAAACGGTCAAAATAAGTGCAGAAAGCTTCCGGAAAGCAACAAGTTTCTCTTACTTTTCAGCAATAAAAATGTTCCGTTCTTAAACTCGGTGATGGAGACGCTGGTGTAGCCACAGTAGTACAGAGCAGAATCAGAGTCTCGGACATCGGAGATCTTCAGATTGTAGAGCCCTTCCTCGGTGTGGACTGAAAATCGCTTGTTGTCCTTAAACTGCTTGTGGAAGGTCCTGGAGTCGGCATGATGTTTGTAAAAAGAGGATACGATCTGCGGCGGCTCTCCTGGAACCTGTTTGTACCAGTTCAGATGGGAGGCACTGGAGGTGTAGACACAACGCAGAGTCACATTGCCTCCAGAGTCAGCGTAGAGCACGTCCCCGTCTGAAACGCAAGTGAAGATCGGAGGGTTAAAGTCCGCAGAATGGTTCACGGATACCTTAAAGCGTCACCGTATGGAGAAGCTACCGTCACGATGCAATAGGAATGTGTAAGTGGAGTGACTTACAAGCTCTGCAGAGAAGAACCAGGAGTACATAAAACTTCAGCATCCTTCACTCTTCACTGCTCAGACTCTCCCAGTGTAATAGCGACTTCAGTAAACAGGTCGAGGACGAGACTTTACGTGTTGAGCGGAAATGGCCTCGACTTACTCTGACAATGGAAACAGTGTGGGCACAAAGGGAAGTGAGAAGCTCTGATTTGACAATTTATCGACTTTATTTATTTATTCTTTTCATTTAAAGTTGGGGTATGTAACTTTTACTGCAATATGTTTTGTTTTACACATTTGTTAAAGCTGTCGCCAAGTCATGACACATAATCTGTGAAAAAAAAAAGTAAAAATCAATCTCCTCCCCGAGTTGCTGTGGTCCTCTGAAGAAATGCAGCGCTCCCGGTCAAAAGCAACCAATCAGAACCCTGGAGGAGGGTCTTAGCACTGTCAATCACCCTTGTGTTCGTGCTGCTCAATGTGCTAAAGACAGAGAAACAACTCATTGTTACAAGATAACTTTTATTCGCCATGATCGGCAGCTCTGATAACCAGCCTTAGCATCATGTACAACAGGCTCAACTGACAGGAGCAGAGAGCATGTGAGGGAGGAAGTGAGCAGTATGTACACGAGGTGATTGACAGCACTGGAACCCTCCTCTTGGCTCTGATTGGTTGTTTTCAGTTAGTACTGGGAGCACTGGGAGAAGGCAGAGGACTGTTTTGGTTTGACTTCCATCAATGGTAAAAGTAACACATCCTTCTGTTTTTTGCTGTTTGTCAGACATTTTGACTCAGATCATTCAACAAAGTTGAAGTATTTGACAAACATTACTTGAGTAAATAAAGAATAAAATGCTGTCATATATCATATCACTTATTAAGGGATAAAGCTATCTGAACCCGACTAGCCCCTAATTGATCCCAAATCTAATTTACCCAGGACTGACGGTCAAAGTGTGAAACCTCTGGTCCACTCTTCACTGCAGAATTACTTCAACCACAGTTAATTATGTATTTAAGATCTCCTCGCACTCTGAATCAGATTTAATCTGCATTTTGAGTAGGCTGCACCCAAATCTGTGGTTTCCAGCTGCAGGACATAATGACGACAGGTCACCTTAAAGTGACGAGAGCAGCCTGAAGCAAAGATTTCCCACAAGAAAATGGACGAACTCAAGAACAGTGGGTTATAAAATAGCTCCCAAATGGAAACCTTAACTTTCCACCTTTGTTGTCGCTCATGGTTCGCCCCCACATAGAGAGGACGACACCCCTAACGGAGAACAAAACAACTGGGACAGAGACGGACCAGACATTGACCGGCTGGAGTGAGAGTCGACGATGGAGAAGAGGCTTTTCTGTGCAAATTGAGTTGTCAATTTGTTCGTGTCGCACAAATTCACAACAAAAGTTACCTAAAAAAATGATCACAAAATGTATTACATACCAAATACAAGATTAATGAAGTAAATCAGTTTATTTAAAATGTTTGTTGTCATGGTGAAGACTGCCAAAAATAATTGGAACAAAACCTCGACACGTTTCTTATTTATTCAGATCAATAAACTTTACATGCATAAGCATAACAAGTATTTATTTTTAGCTTATGTGGTTCATCCAGGTATACTTTCAGTCTTTTCTTTTTTTTAAAAACGGTGATATCGATTCAGGTTGCAAAAATATATCAACTCAATAAAAATACATCTGACCTGCTTGAATGTGGTTTATTACAACAGATAACTGACAGAAATTGATAGCAAACTGTGTCACAGACATTCAGTGAAATAAACACAACACATTTGATACTGTTAAACTTTAATGTAGAAGAAAAGCAGACAAAAGCTCCTGGCGTCTTAAAAATGATAAAAGTTACAGAAATTATTCACAAGCAACATAAAAGTCAGCTATGGCAATTTTATAATGTCTATGTAATAACAGACACATTCAAGCTCAATGTTGATAAAAAAAATACATCAAAAACAAGAATTAATAGACTCAGAATTCATGGAATGATAAGCACATTTACTGAAATGATAAAATTGTTTTATAACAATTTTTATTCAACCAAAACTTTTATGTTGCGTTCATAAAAGGAGCCAAACTCATTGGTGACTGGATGTTTCTGAGCATTACAGCATTTTGTAATGACATCACTTCTCAGTGCAAAGCAGTTGAAGGGTTAAAAAGGGAGCGACGTTGTGACGACTTCCTTAAGGCTGCGTTTCGGAAAGAACAGGCGTTCTTAAAGAGACAGAGGCCCAATTTCATGGCATTAAGCAACAGTTTCTTTGTGTGAGTCATTTGGTAAACTGAGCCTTTTTTGAAGACCTGAAGGAATGAAAGTAGAAAGAATCCTTCAATAATTAGAACTCACTCCACAGAGTTGAGATCCTGGCTGAGTCATTTCAAAGTGCAGATGTTAAATCTGGTCGGAACAAAATCTGTCAAGGCTTCCGAGTAATTCTTCTCTTGACTGTATTTTATTTTTTTTTAAATTCCAGTTCCATTCTACTATTAAATCCTGTAGTACACACATTCAGTCCAGATGGGATCCTTTCTCCTTCGTGGTCTATTGTGCAGCGCAAAAAAAGCAGCATAATGAGCCTTTTGTGCATTGTAATCATCCTGGAAAGCAAAAGGTTTGTTAAAAATGTTACACAGAGGAAAAAGATGCAGTAACTGTTATGCATCAGTTCTTTCAGTAAATAGAAAAGAACTGATGAAAAAACAAATCGCTCACCTTCACATCTGGATTATTGAGTGATCCTTTTTCAGCCTCTGCAGGTAAAAGCAGAAGTTCAGATATTTATGTATTTATTTTGTATTTCTTGTTCATTTTTAAAATTTATTTATTTATTTACATATTATATGGAAGGGAATTAGTGCCACTGAAAAAAACAACCTGACTTTAGTCTTTGGAGAAAAAAGATCAAAATTCTGAAATTAAAGTCAGAATTTAGAGTCTGAATTTAAGGGGGAAAAGTCACAATTTATTATTTTTTTTTTTTCTGGTGCCCTAATCCTAAACAAATACGTTCAGTTATGTTTTAAATAAAAGTAAGGTAACAAAGTACAAAAAGCAGTTTGCAAATTACTTTCCTCCGGAAGGCATGACAGAAAGCCATGTCGACAACTGATATCAAGAGTTTCTCATAAGTCATTTAAATCACCGAGAATAAATTTTTATTCATTTCTTTCTTAAGAACTATGTGAATTTGTATGTTTTGGAGGGTTTTCAAACAAGCGGATCAAATTAAGTTGAGTGAAATCATAGTTTGGAGAATACATTTTGGATTTCCTCATGCTGTCTTTGTTCAGTGTTGCAACAAACGACATAATCTCAAGCAAATAAACGTGGAGGAAGAAAGCAAAACCAGAGCAAATCCACCATGAGTCAAATGTTGATTTTTACTACATTGTATGCATGACTGTGAATTTAAAGCTGTAAAAGTGTTGAAAAAATAAATCTGTTACTTGAACATTTGAAGCTCCTTTTCTTAATCACACACAGTGAGACAGCCAGTGAAACACTCAGGAGGGACGTGAAAGAAAAGGCTCCGGCCCATAAATAAGTCTCCAAGTTGTTGGTATCTGCAGAAACGCAGCAACATAAACTTTCTGTTTAAGTTAAAATAGTTAACGTGTGTTTTTGGTTTGGTTTGCATTGCAGCTGCTCACCTATTAAGTCCAGCTTTGTCCCTTTTCCAAACAGAATGTGTCCACAGGAGGCCACCGCGCAGTAGTAGGTTCCAGCATGAGAGGCGTCCAGTTTGCCAATCGGCAGCTTGTACACACAGCTGTGTGTCCGCGCGCTGGTTTTGTTGTCGCACAGTTTGTTCTCACCCCCCTTGCTGTGAATGAGTCCCGGCTCAGAGTGCTCAGAGTTTTTAAACCAGTAAACGCTGTGCTCCCCGCCACAGGTCCCAGTCTGTACAGTGCAGTTCAGAGTCACAGAGCCTCCGGGCCGGACGGTCTCTGACCCCGACTGATAAACTGAAGTCTGCAGCTGAGAACCTGTTTGTTCTACATACACCATTGTGCCTTCAGCGAAATCCAGCCTGTACAGGTAGCTGCTTGCACAGAAGTAAACCGCAGAGTCTGAAATCCTCAGATTTCTTATCTTCAAGTGATTTTTGCCTTTGGCGGTCTCCAGCTGAAAGCGTGGATTGTTTCTGAATTCATCATGGAAAGTGGCGTTCGCCTCATACTTGTAATAGGTGGAGACCAGCCTGGGCTTCTGTCCCAGGTTCTGCTTGTACCAGTAGAACCGTGCGTCCACAACGTTTTCGTAGAAGCACTGCAGGGTCAAGTTGTCTCCCGCTTTAGCGAACATGAAGTGTTTGTCTTGGCGAACAGATAAGATTTTTTGGGTCTTTGTCTGAGCTGTGGTTGAAAAAAACCCAGACATGTTAAACATACGGCAGCTTGGTACAACGCGTCAAAATGTGGAACCTGTGCATAGACTCACCCATTGTCCCCAGGAACAAGAACATCAGACAGGCGACAAGGCGTTTGCATATCATGGTGTTCAGATTGCTGCTCTGATTAAGAAGAACCTCGACCCATTTTTCGGTTTTCATAGATGTACGGTATTTGATTGGCTAAGGAGAGTTGACGCAACGTCCCGTGTTTCACAAACCTGGTCACATGTCCACGGTCAACTTCACAGCCACGTTGTTTCTGTGTCATTCCACTCAAACAATGGCCCCGTGAAAACACTAGTTATATTGTGTAAATAGGCTACAGTGAACAGGAAACAGTCAATTAAAGTTTTCATATTATTTATTCCAGCTACAACTACACACTTTCATAGATTTTTATTGGGATTTTGGTATTGGGAAAAAAAACAGGCTTAAACAAATGCAAATATGAAAAAGATTACTTTGTCTTTGTAACAACTCCCACTCCTCTAAATGAAAACCTTGCCATAACAAATATGTACCGACCGCTTTACCCTAATATCTGCCGTAATACATTGTCAAACCCTTCAAACACCTTCTAGGCTATTTCTGACAATATGCAAAAATATATGGGTAAAGGTAAAGTTTAAAACAACCCATTTCAGACTTCTTCACAGGAAATGGTTTCACACTGGGCAAGCAGAGATAAGCAATGCTTCATATTTACAATATTTAAAAAATAAATCTCCTCTCCTCTCTGGGGTCCATCATGCAGTGAGGCTTCAAGAAACATCCAAAGAATGTAACAGCGGGACGGCATCATCCAGCTAATTTAAAAAATACTTATTCTTATAGTTTCTAATATGATTGAAACTTTTGGGACTGTGATCAACTTACTTTTAAGTTTTACATAACTATTATTTTTATCATGCATATCAGGGTTTTAGATCTAATGAAGTACAAACCGAAAAACCTACATAATGTGCTGCTCGTTTCTTTATAAGGAAGTTAAAATCTACTGTCATTCATAAGGAATATTCAGTTGTGTTGGCGATTTGAGGGCCCACTCTTATTACCATGGTTGCTCAGATGGATGGAAAAGGGGGGACAAAAGTGCAATTTTGCTTCTTTGTAAAGTGATTGTTGAGTTCAAAGTGTTCAGAACAGAGAAGAAAGAAAAAAGGAGCCCAAATGTGACTTCCTGTAGTTCATTTGATTGAAAACTGACACTTCAGTTGATGACAGAACGCTCTCTGATGGTGGAAAGAAAGGCAACGACTTCCTGTTCTTCTCCCTATAAACTCTTTGGACCAAACACATCAAAAAGACACACTGAGATCCTTACTTGTACCTCTCCCTCGCAGGATTTACACAATTATTAAATCTGCTCTGTTTCCATATGATTCAGTTGTTAGAATTTTTTTCTCCGTAGTTTATTACATTTTGGATGAAGTTTTATTTCCATACATCTTTACATAATCATTTTTTTAAACATATCTCTCCTGTGGCATGTTTTAAAAAGCTCTGAGTCTGGTATATTTTGGGAACACATAATCAGCACAGTGCAGTAGAAGGTATGTAAAGTCTTGATTGCTTTTACTGTCTGTAAGGTCTTGCTCAGAACTCAAAACCATGAAATGGTGCGCCTCTTTGGCACTTCTCTTATCACCGTATTTTCCAGACTATAATTCGCAGTTTTTTTTTTTTTTCATAGTTTGGCCGGAGGTGCGACTTATACTCTGGAGCGACTTATGTGTGAAATTATTAACACGTTATTATATCATATCACATGTTATTTTCACACTAAACCGCAAGAGGGCGCTCCAGGCCTGTGTTCTTCTACCTTCGGAGTTAGCGACGTCTTTTAAAAGCAACACCGAAGATGAAGATTTCATTCGATTTAGTGACTTGGAGAGACACGGATGGTTTGGTAAACTTGTTAGCATGTTATTTATGCTGTAGTTATCTGAATAACTCTTAATATGTTATGCTAACATACCAGGCAGGTTCTCAGTTTGTTAGCATACTGTACAACTATTCAGCCTGTTTTGCCTCTATTCTATTTTTATTGCCTTTCAAGATGACATGTTTGTTCTTGGTGTTGGATTTTATCAAATAAATTTCCCTCAAAAATGCGACTTGTACTCCAGAGTGACTTGCATATATATTTTCCTGCTTTGTTATGCATTTTATAGCTAGTGCGACTTTTAGTCCAGAAAATACGGTAATATATTCCTTGCCTGTCTCGTCCTTGATAATGAAGGTCATCCTCATGGATGTCGAGGTTCCATACACTTAAATCTCCTGTCTCTGCTTTTTATCTACCCAATCTTTGTGTTTTCACTGATTTTTTTTTATGTTAATACTTTATTTTTACTATGTTTGAAATGCTTGGTTATTTGAGATATATGCCCAAGTGAGATTTACTTCTAACATTGACAGAGTAAATAAATTAACTGTTGTGGTTTTCACCCAAGTTACTCACTGTAAGCGAGAACGGCAACAGCGACACTCTTCTAAGAAATCAAAATAGGTCAGAAGCACGAAGGGCTACCGCTTTGTGGCCCCACTTGAGTTTTGTGCTGCTGTGACTCGGGCTTCAAAGCAGAAAATTCAGGTCAGTTTTGAGGAGATAAGTTTCCTGTGGGCTGCTGCATTGAAAAGCAAGACCTCTTTGGGGCCCGTGTTGGAGGCATTTTGCTGCTTGCAGTTTAGATATCTTTTCATTTCTCAAGCAGATGAAGTAACGTCAAGGCTACAACCCCTTTCATTTAGAGTCCAGTCAGAAACAATTCTTGAACTTATCTTACAACATGCTTCGATGTATTCAATTTGGAAAAACAAGCACAGTCCACCTATGATCTAATTTCAGATGTTACATAAAGGCCTTGGAGGTTTGTTGAAACATATTATTGCCCTCTGTTGTTGTTCACATGCAACCCGATTTCGTGGTCACTAGCAATAACCAACGTTGCAGTGTTTCCCAGACGGTGGGATGCAGCTCAGCTGTGATCACTCATGTTGACCTAACAATCTGAGACCAGAAAAAAACCAGGTCGTGACCGGTCTTAAGCCCTCCATGCCTGTTAAGAAGAGACAGGGTGGAGGTCTCACTGTGAAGCCACATGAAGACACGCAATCAAAGCTATGACCACAAAGACACGTCAGGACAGTTGAGTAGCAGGGCTGACAAAACCAGTGGAGCTGAAGTTGACGTAAAACAGCCTGGACCAGAGCAGCAACCCAGAAGCTACAGCAGTTTTCGTGTTGTAGATCTGAAAAACTTTACTGTTCTACAGAAGGCAAAGGGCTGAATTTCAAGGAAACATGTACCCGTTAAAGCCTGTGTAATGAACGTTACAAGGACTTGAACAAAGAGCAAAACATCTGTAGGTTGATGTTCCTGTCTTGAGCAGCACACAGCAGTCTTTGATTGAAGTGGCCATATTCATGTCCTGTCTCTGTGCTTCTTGTAAGCTCGCTTCTGCAAACCTTTTTATCTTGTGTCACGACAACATTCAAGTGTTGCGAGGTGAAGTAAACAAATCGTCACTGTGACTAACTGGACGATATGGCAAAGTAGACGATTGCCCTCTGCCGGTAAGCATCTGATAATGCTCACTTAGTTGCACTGAAATAATTCTTTGAGCCTAACTGTGTGAGCTTATCACAAAGGCTCTGCCTTGGTAGACTTGGCGCCTTGGTCAGACGGTACTTTTGGGGATGAAACATGCATGATGCTCTGCGGTTACAGAAGGTGTCTGATTATGACCCGGAAGAGACCGTAACACAACAACCACAATCAGACAAAAGTCTGTGGTGCCACATCAAAGAAACAAAGCAGGTCCTACAGTCATCAGTTCAAAGTGAAAAAGTAAAAAAAACAGTTGTTCTTATCTAACACAAGGGCTAAAAAAAAAGAACACAACAATATTTGGCAGGTGACAACCGACTTAGTGTGTTTAACAAAAAGGCTATAAGTGAAACTTGCAGGCGGCTCACATCATAAACACTTGTGGGTTTGGGGTGTGAGTTAGTCCTTTAACTCACAGGTTAAATCATCAGCCAGAAGGAGATGATGAGCTTCTTGTATACAGCAGTCCTGATTCCTGGTTGGTCCTTTGCAATCTTGATGGAAAGATGCCATAAGTTCCCTAACTTGTACCAAGGTCTAGTCATTCAGAGCTTACATGTCACAAGAATGAATCATTTCCATTCTTCTAGTCGTCTTAGTAAATCTCAGAAACACAGTTAATAAAGTTAATAAAAATTGTAAGTCCCAATTGTTTATTTCAAAATGTAGTTTGGAAAGAAACTTTATCCTCAGAGGATTGTTGGGTAATAACCCAGTTAGAAAAACAGCCAACATTCATAGTAAAAAAAAAATACAAAATTACAAATCTTTAATCACAATGAGAAAACTTTAAGAAACATTAAATATCTTTTGTAAAGATTTCTGAAATGCCCAACTCTACTGATGTGAACTAAAACGTAAGTTTCTAATGATGTGCAGCACTTTGAACTGCCTTGCTGCTGAAATAACAAATACATTTGATTGATTGACCTTCACTGGTTGGCATGGCACCTTTTGCATGGCACCTTTTGCATGGTCCCATGCAAAAGGTGCTCAAACGTCTGACAAAGTTTGTTTGTTTTTCAGATGTAAAATAGTTGTTTGGGAAGCCTGGGAGTGGTATTACAATTGCAAAGCCACACTCTGTTCTCTATTTGAAAGTGGTGTTATGCAACAACACTTGCACAAGGTCATTCAAGGAGAACATTATCTCCCTAAATGATCCCTAAAAAGGCTGAAACCTTTCATGATTTCAAAAAAATCATTTTTTTCTTCGGTTTTGTTAGCTGCGTTAACCTGTTGGTCCTCTGTGATGAATTTTGGTTCTTCTATTAGAAACATCAAGTTTATCAGACAATACATGGCATTCAGGTCTACTGGTCAATTAAATCCTTGCTTTAAGGGTATATTATTAAGCAATATTGCAATTGCATACATGGAATTGGATGGACATGGATGGAATGAAGTGAAATGTTTAGCCCTGAATCTGGACCATAACTTAAAACAATGATTCAACAGTTTTGAAAATAATTTAAGTGACTGGTAGGAGCTTCTGAAAAACTTTGGTTAATTGTTTAAGAAAATTTTTATTATTTAGTTTTAATAGATATGCATTGAACAGTTAGCAATGGTCAAGTCAAGTGAAATTTTTAAAGTACATTTCAGCAATAATCACCATCATACATAGTTCTTATTAATCAGATGTAATTCTGAAGAGGTGGAAGTCAGTGTTTCAGCAGTTTTGCAGTTTTCTGGAATTTTGTTCCAGATTTGAGGAGCTTAGAAGCCGAATGTTTGGTTTTTCTGGTTCTGTGGATGCAGAGCAGAACCAGAACCAGGAGACTTGAGCGGTCTGGAAGGTTGATCTGGGGACAACACGATTTGCTTGTTTCAACACAAAGTGGAGCTTGCAGGACGTTCGTGTCACACGTGCAGCTATGCGCTCACACAGCAGGTGTTTCTCCAGGCGACACATTTGCCTGGGAAACACAGCAGACAAACCTGTGCCGTGTGTTCAGCAGAAACATTTGCCAAATGATTTGCATCTAAAGCCTTAAGACACGTTTTCTAAGACTCAAAAGCCTGTTTAGTCATCACACAACGTGCATTCGTGACAGCAGGTGTCTGCTGCAGAGGAGAATCACGATGAAAGGGATTTTATTAGGAGTGTTTTTTCTCGCAAGTGAGTGATTTGTATTTGTTTAAACAAATGTTTCGATTCAAGGCCAGATCACAAAATGGATTGTGTGATTTTCATCTTTCAGATTCTCTCATCCTCTCCTCCGGTCTGACCCGTCATTACCGCTTTTTCAGTCAGTCTTTGACTTGGAGCGCAGCGCAGGCCTACTGCAGACAGGCGCACGCAGACCTGGCAACCGTGGAGAACTCCGAGGAACTGGACCTGCTTGTGAACACGCTCCAGTCCGCCGGATACAGCTCTGACGTCTGGATCGGTCTGTCCAGCGAGATCCACTGGAAGTGGTCCGATGCCTACACCGGGACCGGGGCTGGCTACAGGCACTGGAGAAGTGACCTGAATGAACCGGAGTTTCACAGCGCCGCGCAATTCTGCGTGAGATCCGGGAGCGCCGGAAACTGGTGGGATGAGGATTGTGCGCTGAACCTTCCGTTTATTTGTTACAGCGGTAAGGAGCTGTAATGACGGCTTTTAGAATAATAATAATAATAATAATAATAATAATAATAATAATAATAATAATAATAATAATAATAATAATAATAATAATAATAATAATAATAATATTAAAGAAAAAAGACATTCTTGAAAATCCTGTTCCCCGTTTTTCACTCTCTGATCTGCAGGAACACAGGAATCGGCCACATTTTCTCTGCAGAACGAGCAAAGGAACTGGTCCAGCGCCCAGAGGTTCTGCAGGGAGAACTATGTGGACCTTGCAACCGTGAAAACAGATGCGGAAAACCAGATACTGGTTGACAGAATAATGTCTTCAGCCTGGATTGGTCTGTACAGGGATCCAAACTTTTATTGGTCAGACCGGAGCGACTTCGTCTTCAGGAACTGGGACTCTGTCATAAACCCACTTGGCTCAATGCCAGTCATATGTGGCGTTACGTCTTCTGGGCGATCGGGAAAATGGAAATTTTTGCCCTGTGAAACTAAATTGCCATTTGTCTGCTACAGCGGTGAGTATTTTACAGCATGTCTGAAACCTGCACTACACACACACAAAAAAAAAAACAGCAGCTAACTTGTGTGATATGAAGGATCATTAAATATCTCCTCTTCTTGATTAACCAGTATTCAGAAAGGCAGTGAAGCTGAGACTGAATGTGGAGAAGACCGTAGATCCAAACGACCCGGTTCTGAAAGCAAACATCCTGACAAAGGTAAGTCGGACACATGATGTCTATGCATTACACACACATTTGTGTATTGCATTTTGGATTTTGTGTTACAGTCCATCTCCGACAAGCGAAGTGACACATTGCTGTGCAAGATGATTTACAAATGCAAATCCAGGAAGTGCATTTGAATTCAGCAGGTTTTTTTTTCATTGCATAGTTCAAATAAGAATGAATGTTTGATTTGAAAAAAATACTTTTTTTTCCTGAAATGCGTGTGTGTGTGTGTGTGGGGGGGGGGGGGGGGGGGGGGTGCGTGTGTGTGTGTGTGTCCCAGCTCCAGGACAGACTGCAGCAGAGTGGAGTGAATGGAATCGCCCTGAAGTGGAGGGAGCGACGCGATGGAGGAGTCTTCCTGAGGGAACCATGAGATTCAAAATACAATCCCAGATTCATTTATGTTAGCTCATTTTCAGCATGCATTTAAATACTGTATGAACAAGACCGCTGCATGCTGCCTCTACCAGCACGTCGTCCTCCACACATTGAAATGTGCAGAGCTTTGTCAATGTGGCGTTTCAAGCCTCCACATCACTCAGGGAGCATGTGGTTAGAGTTCACAAAAATTGTACTCAAGTAAGAGGAGCACCTCTTTAGCATAGTTGTACTCAAGTAAATGTAAACAGAAATTACTCAAGTAAGAGTAAAAAAATATTCCGTAAAACAGCGAGGCAAGTTTTGACTGCTTGACCGTATTTGATTGTACAATTAGATTCAATACTTTACAATGTTAGTGTCTTCAGAAAGACTAACAATGTTACATTTGAACACAAAATTCTAGTATTTACAAAACTAATATGAAAAAACCAAGAAGCCCTTTTCTGTTACTATTTTTTCACTGTAAAACATGTAAAGCTAGAACTTACAGTAGATTATGTGTATACAGTGCATGTTTAAAAAGGGAAGAGTACAGTAATTGTGTTTATTGTATTTTCACTTGACCTCCAAATATCATAAAGCTGGAGTACAACCAAGAAATCTCACTTTAACATAAGCTATAGGTTTGCATCGGTATGTGGCGCATTTTGGGGTGAATTATGTTTGTTCTCTATTCAGTCAAATTACTCACAGTGCGTAGAGTATCCAGAAAGACAATAGCAATAGTTTACAATATAGTTACTCAAGTAAAATGGAGGGTTAGGAGTAAAAACTTCTCCTAAAAGTCCGTTTTTTTCCCCCTGAAGTTGCTCAAGTAAATATAACAATGTATCCACCTCTGCTCCTCCCGTGTTTTCATTCATGAAAAAAGCAATACTTGTTCAAATCAGCCTCGAAAAACAATCTCACTGCTCGGCTCTGAAAGTGCGTTGTGTACGTCTGAACTCTTCAGTTGTGTAGCAAGCACTGACAAGAATGTAGAAGTTTGCTGCAGACATACAGTGCTGATGACATCAGAAACATGACTCTAGTTGTGACATCGCAGAGTTTTCCTTCGTCTTTGGAATGAGGATGGAAGTGTTTGAGAACTCTACCACACTGACCAACCAGACTCCTCTCCCATATTAAATTGGGCTGGATGAGGGTTTTGTTTACGTCGTTTAAGTTTCTGCTTACATGTGTTTTTGTTGTTGTTGTTCATGTGCTGTGAAATAAAAAATAAATTAAAAAAAACATAATTTATCAGACAAAGCAATACCTTTTTTTGTGTGTTTGGGGTCAGTATGTGCAGGATGTACTTTATACTGTCATATTGTGAAAATATGAATATTTGTATTAAATGAAAAAAATATGTAAATGCCAAAATTATATTCTTGTAATGTATATAGTTGTCTTATTATTTAATTAAGATTTCTTCTGTGGTGAAGTCACTGCTAACTCAGATTTTGCTTGACTTTACCAATGCCAACAGCGCCCTCTAGAGTGAGCCAGCTTGTATTACAGCCTCCTGCCTTCTCTCCTTCATTGGTCTCAGACTGTACTTTATCCCCTCAGCACGTCCCTCCTGTCTCCCATCTTGTTCATGCTCTTCATTTGGGCACATTGATTAAAGTAGTTATATCTATCTATCTATCTATCTATCTATCTATCTATCTATCTATCTATCTATCTATCTATCTATCTATCTATCTATCTATCTATCTATCTATCTCTATCTCTATCTCTATCTCTATCTCTATCTCTCTCTCTCTATATATATATATATATATATATATATATATATATATATATATATATATATATATATATATATATATATATATATATATACATAAAAAAAAAATTCCCTTCTCACCCACCGCGGGTGGTTCTTATCCTCTGAGCTCGGGTCCTCTACCAGAGGCCTGGGAGCTTGAGGGTTCTGCGCAGTATCTTGGCTGTGCCAAGGACTGCACATTTCTGGACTGAGATGTCTGATGTTGTTCCTGGGATCTGTTGTAGCCACTGCTCCAGTTTGGGGGTTACTGCCCCGAGGGCCCCGATGACCACAGGCACCACTGTGGTCTTCACCTTCCAGGCCCTCTCCAGTTCTTCCCTGAGGCCCTGGTATTTCTCCAGTTTCTCGTGCTCCTTTTTCCTGATGTTGCAATCACTTGGTATTGCTACATCTACCACAACGGCTTTCCTCTGATGTTTATCCACTACGACAATGTCTGGTTGGTTCGCCATTACCATTTTGTCTGTCTGGATCTGGAAGTCCCACAGGATCTTAGCTCTGGTGTTCTCCACCACCTTTGGGGGTGTTTCCCACTTTGATCTCGGGGTTTCCAGTCCATATTCTGCACAGATGTTTCTGTACACTATGCCTGCCACTTGGTTATGTCGCTCCATGTACGCTTTCCCTGCCAGTATCTTGCACCCTGCTGTGATGTGCTGGACTGTCTCAGGGGCCTCCTTGCACAACCTACACCTTGGGTCTTGTCTGGTGTGGTAGATCTGGGCCTCTATTGCTCTGGTGTTTAGGGCCTGTTCCTGGGCGGCCAGGATGAGGGCCTCTGTGCTGTCCTTGAGTCCAGCTTTTTCCAGCCATTGGTAGGATTTACTGATATCAGCCACTTGGGATATTTGCTGGTGGTACATCCCATGTAGGGGCTTGTCCTCCCATGATGGTATCTCTGGCACCTCAACCTCTGTTCCCTGTTGTCTGAGACATTCACTGAGCACATTGTCTGTTGAGGCTTTGTCCCTGATGTATTTATGGATCTTAGTTGTTTCATCCTGGACAGTGGTTCTCACACTCACTAGTCCTCTGCCTCCGTCCTTGCGGCTCGTGTACAGTGTCAGGGTGCTGGATTTGGGATGGAACCCTCCATGCATGGTTAGTAGCTTTCTAGTCTTAATATCTGTGGCTTTTATCTCCTCCTTTGGCCAGCTGATTATTCCAGCAGGGTATCTGATTACTGGCAGGGCATAGCTGTTTATCGCACGGATTTTGTTCTTGCCATTGAGCTGGCTTCTCAGGACTTGCCTTATTCGTTGGAGGTATTTAGCTGTGGCTCCTTTCCTTGTGGTCTCATCGAGGTTGCCATTTGCTTGTGGTATACCTAGGTACTTGTAACTGTCCTCTATGTCTGCTATTGTTCCTTGTGGGAGTGAGACTCCTTCTGTGTGGATCACCTTCCCCCTCTTTGTGATCAGCCGACCACACTTCTCTAGTCCGAATGACATCCCAATGTCAGTGCTGTAGATCCTGGTGGTGTGGATCAGTGAGTCGATGTCTCGCTCACTCTTGGCATACAGCTTGATGTCATCCATGTAGAGGAGGTGACTGATGTTGGCCCCATTCTTGAGTCTGTATCCGTAGCCAGTCTTGTTGATAATTTGGCTGAGGGGGTTCAGGCCTATGCAGAACAGTAGCGGGGACAGAGCATCTCCTTGGTATATGCCACATTTGATGGACACTTGTGCAAGTGGTTTGCAGTTGGCTTCAAGGGTGGTTTTCCACAGCTTCATTGAGTTTGCAATGAAGGCTCTCAGAATCCTGTTGATGTTATACATCTCTAGGCATTCAATGATCCAAGTATGCGGCATTGAGTCATAGGCTTTCTTGTAATCGATCCAAGCCATGCACAGGTTGGTGTGTCGGGTTTTGCAGTCTCGGGCAACTGTGCGGTCTACGAGGAGTTGGTGTTTGGCTCCTCTGGTATTTACACCGATACCCTTCTGTGCCGTGCTCATGTGTTTATCCATGTGTTTGCTTATCTTGGCCGCTATGATGCCTGACATGAGCTTCCAGGTTGTGGAGAGGCAGGTTATTGGTCGGTAGTTGGGTGGGACTGGACCCTTTGATGGATCCTTCTGGATTAGGATTGTCCGCCCTTCAGTTAACCATTCAGGGTGAGTCCCACTTTGTAGCAGCTGGTTCATTTGGGCTGCCAGTCGCTCATGGAGAGCAGTGAGTTTCTTTAGCCAGTAGGCATGGATCATGTCAGGCCCTGGTGCTGTCCAGTTTTTCATACCTGAGACTCTTTCTTGAACATCTGTCACAGTGATGGTTACCGGGGCTTGCTCAGGGAGGTTGCTGTGGTCCTCTCGTAGAGAGATCAGCCACTGTGCATTGCTGTTGTGGGACGCCTCCCTTTCCCATATGCCTTTCCAGTATTGTTCCGTCTCCAGCCTTGGTGGGTCTGCTCTGTTGTTATTGTTACCCTGCCATTGAGAGTACACCTTAGCTGGTTGAGTGGAGAAGAGCCGGTTAATCCTTCTGGATTCATTCTCCCTTGTGTATCTCTTTAGGCGGCTGGACAAGGCTTGGAGCCTCTGTTTGGCAGTCTCGAGTGCTTCAGGTATGGGCATCTGCCTGTACTTTCTGGGTACTGGTCTTTTCATTGTATCCTTGTGGAGCTCTGACAGTTGGCTCACTTCCCTCCTTGTTACCTTGATTTTAGCCTCTAACCGTCTTTTCCATGGTGGGTATTGGGTCTCATGGTTGCTCTTATAGCCAAGTATCTCAAGGATCACTGATGCTGAGTTGTAGATCAGCTCATTGGTTTCTGTTATGGTGTTGGTAGGGATCGTTCTCAATGCTGCATTCACATTCTCAATGAGACTTTCTGATGGTACTTCACTCAGCCGTTGTAATTGGGTCATGATTCTCTCTCTCAGGTCAGCAGCTGTCTCGTTCAGCTCTGTTTCGCTCATTGGGGCCGTGTATCCCCTCACTGGGTGGGGACTTGTAGTTAAGTCCCCACAGTCCTGACATCCGGGTTCCTCCCTTTTGCCGTAGCATTTGTGTTGTATCTCGTCAATCTCAAGTTGTGATAGCAGTTGCCGTTTGCGGATGTTGGAACACTGAGCTACTAGTTGTTTAGCGCTTAGTGTTGACTGGGGATGTCGAAGTAACCATTCCTTCCCAGTCTTTGCATGTAACCTCTCTCACTAGGGTTACTTGAGTAGTAGCATTCCAACAGATCCACATTTTCATCTCTCGCCCATTTCCGTCTTGTTCCAGTAGCCCATTTGTCATCAAGGTGCTCTGGTTCCCCAACACCTGACGCAGACCTTGTTTGGCCGGGCGACGTCTGAGCCGGCATGTTACGCAACTTAGTATCTCTCATGGTATGAGGTAGGCAGTAGCTTGAAGGGTCTTGCCTAAGGACCCAGACTGGATATATAGATATATATCTATATATATCTATCTCTCTCTCTCTCTCTCTCTCTCTCTCTCTCTCTCTCTCTCTCTCTCTATATATATATATATATATATATATATATATATATATATATATATATATATATATATATATATATATATAGAGAGAGAGAGAGAGAGAGAGAGAGAGAGAGAGAGAGAGAGAGAGAGATAGATAGATAGATAGATAGATAGAGATAGATAGATAGATAGATAGATAGATAGATAGATAGATAGATAGATAGATAGATAGATAGATAGATAGATAGATAGATAGATAGATAGATAGATAGATAGATAGGGTTAGGGTGTGCTGCAGGCTTTGCATAAAACCCTACCCTACATATATATATATATATATATATATATATATATATATATATATATAGATAGATAGATAGATAGATAGATAGATAGATAGAGAGAGAGAGAGAGAGAGAGAGAGAGAGAGAGAGAGAGATAGATAGATAGATAGATAGATAGATAGATAGATAGATAGATAGATAGATAGATAGATAGATAGATAGATAGATAGATAGATATGTTCTAGTTCTATTGATAATCTGTCAATAAAATTGTGTATGGTGCCTTCTTTTAAAAGACATTTGCCTAGAAAACACACACGAGACTGTCAGTTTGACAACTCCCTTGATTAAATTTGCCTACTGTGTGCTGCAGGCTTTGCATAAAACAGCCACTGAAATAAGTTTTACATTTTTTTTAGACCACAGCTTCTTTCATTATAAAAATAATCCTCCCTGTTCCATTCCATATCTATATTGATAAAGAGGATAATGTGTTGTCACTTGTCTGTTATGTTTACACAAGTTGTTATAGACACTAGTTGAATACCTGAAGAACCAGATGCTCAACTGTGCAATTGATGCATTTGGAGCACAAAGAAGAAATTTTGTGAGATGCAGAACAAATGAAGAGAGGCTAGATGAGTGCATGATGCCATCTGTTAAGCATGGGGAGGAAATACAAGACGTTTTTGTGCTGGTGAAATGGGGGATTTGTACAGGTTAAAAAAGATATTGACTATCCTGTGAACAACGCAGTGACAAAGCAATGACCCAAAGCTTGGCTCCAAAACATGCAAGAACTATTTAGGGAAGAAGCAGTCAGATGGTATTCTGTCTATAATGGACAGGCCGGCACAATCACCGGATCTCGACCCTGTTTAGCTGTAGTGGGATCAGTTTGAGGTGATATTTCCTCAGATTATCTCAACAAATTAGCAGTTCAACAACCAAAGGACATTTTTATTGGTGACCCCAAACTTTTGAGTGGGGGTAGTGTGTCTGATCAAATTTGACTTGTAAATCCACATACCAGCAGCTACATAATGTAGTTAGATGTATATCAGAAACTATAAAAGTGGCACTCGGTGTCACATAGACAGCTTGATTTGTCATTCACAATTGTGTTTGTTTTTAAGGAGAACAATTTGCTTGTGCAGCCTACAAACCTTGCAAATCTACTCAGCACATTAGAATACTTCATTTACCTATCGTCAGTCGTGACAACAAAGCTACCATGTTCTACTGATGAGACAAATATTCTTGTATCAAGAGACCACTTTCCAGAGACACTCGGCTACTGCAGTCCTCAGAGCTGCGTCACGATGGACAGGATCTTGCTGGGAGTCTTGGTTCTCTCAGGTCAGTGACGTAATGTTTCCAATCTGGTATTAAATGCTTTTAAACAAAGCAACACTGAAGGTTGAAAAACAATTAAATCTCTATTATGTTCCAGACCTGCTCATCCTCTCTTCCTGCCTCCGTCTTCAGCCCGTCTACCACTTTGTCAATCAATCTCTGAATTGGACTGAAGCTCAGTCCTACTGCAGACAAGACCCACACTGACTTGGCATCCGTTCTAAGCTCAGAAGAAAAGAACCGATTCATGAGCACTCTTTCGTCCTCCGGTCACAGCACTGACATCTGGATCGGTCTTTTCGATGAAATCGACTGGAGATGGTCCGACGGCTTCACGGGGAGCGGCGCCGACTACAGACAGTGGAGAACTTCTACATATGAACCAACTTTCCACTACTCCGTTGAGTTCTGCGTGATGTTCACATACTATGCAGAGTGGCTTGATGTTAGTTGCTCAGACAATCGCCCGTTTGTGTGCTACAAAGGTTAACAATATTATATATGACACATCCTTCTTAAAACTTTTTTATGAAATGCAGAACTTCTGCTCACCTTTGTCCTCTATTCCCTTTAACTGCAGGCTCGCAGTTGGTCCCTGAATTTGTGTTTGTGAATCTACCAACGAGCTGGTCCAGTGCTCAGACGTACTGCAGAAACAACTTCATAGACCTCGCTACCATAAAAAACGACGCAGACAACAAGCGTGTTCAGAACCAGTTGCCTGGTTCTTACGATCCATGGATTGGTTTATATAGAGATCCAAATTTTAACTGGTCTGACGGGAGCAGCGTCGAATTTACCAGCTGGGACTCTGTTATGAATCCGCTTGGCTCGAAGACAGTCATTTGTGGCGTTACATCTTCTGCAAGATCAGGAAATTGGAAGTTTTTGCCCTGTGAAACAAAATTACCTTTTGTCTGTTATGGCCCTCCTGGTGAGTGTTTTTCTTCTTTTCTTTCAGCTGAAAGGAGAATTTGAGGAAGAATTGGGGATGATTAGGATTTGTTTTGACCAGATTTTAGTCATTTAAGAACAATTATCTCTCTATGCTGAGTTCTGTCTTATACTTTCTAGTTAAAAAATGCCATTTATATGCTTTGAAAATTCATTATATTTAATCAGTTAATCACTCACCTAAATTATGCAGGTCAGCTTTTAGTGACAAAAACAGAGTTGTTTTTTTCCATTTGGACTTTCTGCAAGTCAGTTTCAATATCTTGATCTAACCAGGGGTAATTAGGAATGTATTTACAATGCAGTAATAAAGTGAATGGCTTTATCATTTGTTTCTTATATCTGAATTGACATATGCAGCAGCAATGCATGACTAAGTTAAAATACCATGTTTTCTCTCTGAGTTTGGACTGACTCCTTGATACGGGGGTTTGCAATTTAATATGGTTTCCTCTTCCTGGTGGGACACGCCTGGAAAGTCTCCAGGTTGCAAGGAGGCGTACTGATCAATGCCCTGATCATCTTAACTAAGACTTTTCAGTTTATAGAAGGCGGTTTTTACCCTAAATGTGAGGCCCAGTACCAGCCCCCCCAATAAAGGAAGCTAATTTCTGCCTCTTCTATCCAGGATCTAATTTTTTTGAAAACGTGACACAGAAGTTCAGCTCATTTACTAAAGTGAAACTTACATACATATCAATGCATTTTATACTCATTTATTAAGTTGTATAAACATGTTTTTGAAATGGACACTCAACCTATTGCTGTATTTCTTATTTCAAATCAGTAATGAAACAGACTGTGAAGATAAGACTTCGCACCGACAACTCCGTGGATCTGAATGACCCTGTTTTGAGGGAAAATATCCTGACAATGGCAAGTTTGGAATGAAAATAGTTTTACACCTCAGATGAGGCAATATCTGACCTGTAAATGTAAACATGTTTTATTTTTTTATTATTTTTTTTGTTTGTTTGTTTTTTACAAACTGATTAGAGGAAAATCCAACCTGATCCCAAAATTTTGAAAATTTTACTTTTTCAACGCCTTGTAATTTTGTCTTACAGCTCCTGAACCGACTGCAAGAGACCGGGGTGCGTGGATTCATCCTGAAGTGGACAAAACAGCCTGATGGAAAAGTTTTCCAAAAGGAAATTAAATACATCTAGAGATGATATGCAGGTTGAAATAAATATAATATTGAAGAACAGGGATTTCTTTGTTTCAATTGGAAACTTCTCATCAAAGTTAACATAATACCAATACTTTCTAATGCACAACATACACAACTCAGAATTACAAGTTGTTGAGATGCTTACCAAGGTCAAATACACACATGCTTCTACACACATTACACTCTCATACTTTCACACAAAAACCTTTGTATTTGTAACAGATACAGAAACTGAATCATCTTCTCACTCCCATCTCCAAGGAAATAGAGATTTAGGTGACGCAGGACATCGAATGACCACTGGGCGTGTTCTGAGATCATAAGCAATGAATCTTCCCGTTTTTAAAACACATGCTGTATAGACTCGGGGCCCAATATTTTCACTGTGGTGTCTGTGATGGTAAGTGTCTCTTTTTTAATGCTAAAAAAGAATAAAAAACGTAAACTCTGATTGCTTTGCGTTGGCTGATTTGCTGCTTGTATGCTTGCACGTTTTTGGTCTATCGGTTTAGATTACATGATGTTTTTCACAACAGAGTAAAACTTCTCCTAAAAGTCAGTTTTTTTTTCCCCTGTGAAGTTGCTCAAGTAAATGTAACACTTTTACATTTACTTGAGTCCATGGTCCTCCCATGTTTTCATTCACAACTTCCATGTGCTGTGAAATAAAAAAAAAAAAAAAAAAACATAATTTATCAGACAAAGCAATACATTTTTTGTGTGTTTGGGGCCAGTATGTGCAGGATGTACTTTATACTGTCATGTTATGAAAATATAAATATTTTTATTAAATAAAAAAAATATGAAAATGCCAAAATTATATTCTTGTAATGTATATAGTTGTCTTATTATTTAATTAAGATTTCTTCTGTGGTAAAGTCACAGCTAACACAGATTTTACTTGACTTTACCAATGCCAACAGCGCCCTCTAGAGTGAGCCAGCTTGTATTACAGCCTCCTGCCTTCTCTCCTTCATTGGTCTCAGACTGCACTTTATCCCCTCAGCACGTCCCTCCTGTCTCCCATCTTGTTCATGCTCTTCATTTGGGCACATTAATGAAAGTAGTTGATTAATTTCATTTTACATAAAGTCAGGACAATAGCCTGAGTTGTCTGAAATGTGGACGAGCTCGGTTCTATGCTGTTCTACTCTTCCTTAGTTTAGGGAATCAATCCCAAAAACAAAAGCCAAAGACCTTGTGAAGATGCTGGCTGAGGCTTGTAAGAGTGTCATTGTCCATGGTGAAACATGTCCTGTACCGAGAGGGCCTGAAACGCTACTCAGCAAGGAGGAAGACGCTACTTTCAAAGAAACTTAAACGTGCCAGGAAGCAGTTTGAGCATGTCCTGTGGTTTGATGAAACTCAAACGGTCCAGCAATGACGACCATCGCTATGTTTGGAGGAAACAGGAGCAGTTCAGGAACATCATTTCAACTGTTAGGTACAAGGCGGGCAGCATCATGTTGTTGGGCTATTTTGCTGCTGTAGCTAACAGTACCACCAAGACAAGAAAAGAATGTCATGTAAAACCTGGCAAATGTAAAACAGAAATCCTTTTTGGTTAATCTAACTGACCTACCCAAGAGACGTTTTACCTTATTTGACTTCAGTGAGGAAAAAGGCGTGTCTTCTCCTTCAGTGTGTGTCAACTTCTGGTGTCAGCTCTCTATACTGAGGCTGTGGTGGAAATGAAGCAACCAGAGAAGATGATCGCAGAGAAGTGGAAACAGATGGGTGAAAGTGCAGGCAGGAGAGAACGAGATGACAGAGAACAGCTGGGAGGAGAAGCAGGTGGACAAGTACGAAGGAAGAAAACCCGAAACGATCAAACAACAAACAGAAAGAAACACAAACATACAGAAACAAGTCCAAATTCACAAATTATAATTGTTGCATAAGGACACCAATACAAAGGAATAAACTACAAGAAAGAAAATTGTTAAATAAGCAACAACATCAACAAAACCACATGTAAGCAGAAACTTAAACGACGTAAACAAAACCCTCATCCAGCCCAATTTAATATGGGAGAGGAGTCTGGTTGGTCAGTGTGGTAGAGTTCTCAAACACTTCCATCATCATTCCAAAGACGAAGGAAAACTCTGCGATGTCACAACTAGAGTCATGCATCTGATGTCATCAGCACTGTATGTATGTAGCAAACTTCTACATTCTTGTCATTGCTTGCTACTCTACTGAAGAGTTCAGACGTACGCAACGCGCTTTCAGAGCTGAACAGTGAGATTGTTTTTCTAGGCTGATTTGAACAAGTATTGTTTTGCCAAACATGTGATATGAAAGGTTGCACTTTAGTGGTTGGACGAGATCCCAGCCGTGGGATTGGAGAGCTGGACAACATCAACCTCCCATTTAGATCCAGAGACATGGCTCTCTTTTGGAAATTCAGAGTGCAAGATGTTCGGTAAGACAGATAAGACTCAAGGAGATGCAGTGACAGCTAAGGACAGAAGAAAAGTTTTCCAAATCAAGAGTCTCTCAGCCGTCCTGTTATGACTTCCCAGGTGCACAGTGATATCAAATGCAAGCAGAAAATGCTGCTGCAGCAGGAACTCGATTAATTGATGCCGCCTCACATCGTCAGCAAGGGAGAATTTATGTCACAAATCCTGGTAGAAAAAGAAAGAAATGACGCCCTTCAACAAGAGCTGGACCAAGTGAAGACTTGCTATGAGGAGCTTTGATCAAAATATGAAGCTGCAGGTAGACATGCAGCTATTCTATGAGGAGAAAATCAGGCCAGAGCAAAATCTCAATGAAAACCTGAGAGCCGAGAAGGACAATCTCCAAGAACAAATGTCCAAGGAGATCGCCTGCCTGCATGAAACGGAGAAACATCTGCAGAGAGAGCTGGAGCAGATTACAGTTGCATGATGCATCTCCTGAGGAGCTGAAGAGAAGAACCAGACGAACCTGAACCTGAGGCAGTCTCCTGTGGAAAACAATGGGACACACTTTGAAACTCAAGAAACACCAAAACAGGGAAAAGAAGCAAGAAAATCTCTTTCTGTGGACATTTTTGTCATGATGTCAGTGTTGTGGGATTTTTTTGTTTCATATGTTTAGTTTTCTGTCAGATGTCAGGTTTTACTTGTTGTCTATTTGGATCTAGGTTAGCGGTACCGCCTCCCAGCAGGCAGCGCTGAAATTACTTTGAGGGGCATTTGCTCGAAGACAAACTTTACTTCTTAAATGCACAACAATACCAGTTTAGACTTTGAGCAACTTGCTAAAACTGCAATGTGTAACATAAAAACATGCCTGGCTGTAACTGTATCGATGGCAGCTCTCCTTCTCTTCAGCGTTTGGTAGCTTCTCCTGCTGCTCTCCTTCTACATGTCCTGTCTGTCTCTAAGTTGCCCTGCGAGGGACTGGTGACCTGTCCAAGATGATCCTACCTCTCGCCCATTGACAGCTGGAGATAGGCATCAGCATCCCTTCTAACGGTGATAAGGGTGTAAGAAAATGGATGGATGAAGAAGAAAAGAGAAGGGAGACAGAAAAGGCTAGGAATTAAAGAGGGGACATGGGAGAAAAAGGAGGAAAGGCAGAGACAATAAACTGGTAAGTATGAGAAAAAAAGAACATAGAAAAAAAGGCAGCAATTGTGTTTCTATTACAAATATGAACAAATCTTTTTCAATATTCTGCAAATGTCGAAAAAGCACAATTTCGCAATTGTTTCCATGACATAGTTACAAGTTTATTCACACGATAAGTCATTAACAAAACATGTCATGCTATCTTCCTCCAACTACTTTCTATCATCTTCTTTTTCATGGTTTGCCCCCATGGCAACATAAACACCTTATTTTACCTCCTTATTTTACCTTTATTAAAAACGGCTGTGCTTTCGAAATCAGCTTGTTTCCATAAACCAAATTTTGAAATGTCAAAAATGCAAAAAGAGTTGTTCTGTTTTCTTCTTCCATCCATCACCACTCAATGAAAACACTGTTATCAACTTTCAGACTTTATTTTCATGTCATATTTTTAGTCAGAATGCAAAATGGATTTCCTGGTAAACATTTGCATAAACACCAAAAAAGGAACCTTTTAATTCTGGGAGCTCCAGGGTTTTTTTCAGTCTACAGATGCCTGATAATGGAGAGGATCTTGGTGGGACTCTTGCTTCTCACAGGTAAATGATAAATATTTTAATGTGATTATGTTTGCTTTACTCTTTCATTGAGGAAGAAGTAGATTTAGATTGCTAGTTTCAGAGCACATTTCATTTTCAAGAATGCAATATATTTTCCTGCAGGGTGGCTCAGCCTCTCTACCTGCCGTCAGTACCACTTTGTCAACCAGTCAGCCACTTGGAGTGAAGCTCTAACCTACTGCAGACAAACATATACAGACCTGGCCTCTATTAACAGCAAAGATGAAAATAATGAGCTGATGAGAACAGTCGATTCTGCCGGTCACGACTCTGATGTCAGGATTGGTCTGTACAACAAAGTCAATTGGAAGTGGTCCGATGGCTTCAGCAGCAGTGGGGCTGATTACAGGAAATGGCACGTTTCAGATTATGACCCTGATTTCATTGGAGCCAATCAGTTCTGTGTAACCATTAACCAGAATGGGTTATGGTTGGACTCAGAGTGCATCCGCAAGTTTCCATTTGTTTGTTACAAGGGTAATTATAATAAGCATGACATTTAGGTTTGAAAGTATTATGTGAGTGAGTTTTGAGTGTACAAAACTGTAACCACTTCTGTCCTCCATCCTTCCTCGGTACAGGAACACGTCTGACTCGAGAATTTGTTTTTGTTAATCAACCAGAAGACTGGATAAGTGCCCAGAAGTATTGCAGGGAGAGCTACACAGACCTGGCCACTATCAGTACCGATGCAGAAAACGAGAAGATCAATAAACTGACAAATAAAACCTCGGCATGGATTGGTCTATTTAGAGATGACAAGTTTTCTTGGTCTGATGGTAGCAGTTCTCAATTCACCAGCTTTGATAATGTTAGGAATGACATTGGCTCAATGAGAATCATATGTGGTGCCACGTCTGCTAAGAGATCAGCGAAATGGATATTCTTGTCCTGTGAAACAAGATTTCCTTTTGTCTGCTACAGCCTCCCCTCTGGTGAGTGTTTTACTGACCTTCAGAGACATAAAATTATGCATTCAATAAGGAAAATGGTATTCAATCAAATGAATTATAATCTTTGAATAAAGCTGTTTTTTTCCCCATCTCATCTACCACCAGAAGTAAAACGGGTGACGATGATGATCAAATCGGAAGATTCTGTGGGTCTGAACAATCCCGCTCTGAAAGCAAACATCCTAAAAAAGGTCGGGTTGAAATGCTCTGTATTTATATCTTAGGGAACAGAGTATAAGCGGGTGTCCTTAAAATATTGGTTGAAATATTTAAAAATGACTAAATTTTTGTCCCCCAAGCTCCAGGACAGTTTGGAGGAGAAAGGAGTGAATGGAGTCTCCCTGGAGTGGACAGAGCAGGCTGGTGGAAAACAAGCAAAGGGTATCTCTCAAACGATAAAATAATGCAAAAGAACTATCATTTGAAAAATATGTTGTTTTTTAGATTTTAAGAAAATGGGTTGTTGAACTATTAAGTATTTTCTTCCCAGTGAGTGGGAAATATCCTGTCACTACAGCAATCAAACACTGCTTCAAATTTCTGACCAGATTTTGGTATTTTGAAAGATGATCTCTTATGGTTGAGCTCCAGGTCTGCGAGGTTTTGATGGCCTCATTGCCATCACCTTAATCTTTAGCTCACCTCCATGGATTCACTACGACGTTCTACGAATGGGTCGCTGTGAATTATTGATACTACTTCCTGTAAGGTAGAAACATGTTGGTAAAAGTAAAACTTAATCTAAATTTGCCATGGGGTATGAATAACTTTGGGCTCAGCAATTAATTTCTTTCTTTTGCTTGAATGTATGAAAAAGGAGAAAAGAAAAACATGATTGAGGAGCTCTGGAAAACTTGCAACTAGAAACTGGTTTAATTGGTGGGGTTGGGGCTGCATCTATATAGTTGTTTGCATTATTAAGATGTCAAGAAAAAATGTCCCTTGATAGCATCTCAGCTTCATATGTCTATATCCATGTACTCCAATAAACATTTTTTTTCTCAAAGATCAACTGGTTGAGTTTTTAAGAGTATGAATGTCTCAATCCTTTGTTTTCCTCCTAAGCCCAAATCCAATTTCTTTGACCTGATCTTTTCATGACAGTCTAAGCAACACAGAATGGATTTATATGTGGACATAACGTGCGTGTGTGTGTGTGTGTGTGTGTGTTGTGTGTGTGTGTGTGTGTGTGCGTGCGTGGGGTGTGTGTGTGTGTGTGTGTGTGTGTGTGTGTGTGTGTGTGTGTGTGTGTGTGTGTGTGTGTGTGTGTGTGTGTGAGTGCGTGCATGCGTGGGTGTGTGTGTATGTGTGGAGCCAGGTGAAGTTAATAAGTCAAAATTTCCACAGTGAAGTCACCTTTACTTCTTTTATCTCAAGCAGGTTTCCTGCAGGTGGCACTGTAGTTTAATTGTGTCTCTCCATTTGAAGAGTAAAGTTGCATGTGTGACATCATATCCGTGAGATGGCTGTTGGTCCTGCAACAGTGATAACAGTGATCATTGTCATAGATCGGTAAGGTGACCAAGAAGTAATATTTAACGGTAGACTGTGATACGCCAATATAGATTCCCACGGATTGAGCGAACTTGAGGGACAGAGCTGTAATGTAGCACAAAACATCTTTAGAGCTGCAATCTTTTATCAAAGTCATGTTCCAACTACTTATTTCAAGTAGTGGTAGGAGCTGTCTGATAGCAGTTCACATGAGGTTGAGCTGAAATCTACAATGCAAAACAGAAACATCCAAATTCAAAGAGAAACAAAAACTGTCGAGAAGGTTAGATGGACTAATAACAAAGTGGGACAAAAATGAGTTTTGGTAAAATGCCAAACACTGGAAAAATATAATCTGTCTTCATTATAAATGAGTGTTTTATTCACTATCTGTCTTCAAAGTTTTGTGTGGTGTCCTCTTTTAACAGCCATTTACTTAGGAAACACACCCAGTCCGATCAGGTTGACAACTCCCTTGATTAAATTTGCCTACTGCGTGCTACAGACTTTGCATAAAAGCCTGTAGTGAACCACTGAACTAAAGTTTTCTCCTTTTTTTAGTCTACAGCTCCTTTCTTTAAAAAAATAATTATTTTCCTGTTCCATTCCATATACCAGTGCCAACAGAGAAGATAATCTATTGTTTCCCTCCACTCTGTTACTTGTTTGCAATATTTAGCACAGACTGGTTTAAACAAATCACACTAGTTTTAAAATGTCTTGTAGAAGCTGCATCTCCCAACTTTGGAAAACAGCAAATTGGAGAAAAGAACCAAAATCTTTAAGTATGAGAGGAAAATAAAATATAATGAGAACAATCACTGTCATGACTGATCAAAGTCTGTCTGTCAGATAAACTATCTTTTCACAATTAATCATTTTAAATGGGAAAACAGAGCAGGGGATTTCCGAATATTTTTCAGGATTAAGATCTTCGGATGAACAAAAACAATTACAAAAAAAAAATCTCTTATTTAAATTTAAATCTCTTATTCACTGTCTTTATATTTGATAATCAACCTATGTACTGATGAATTCATACGATTGAAAGAAATACCCAACAAGCCGAAGCATATAACAAAGATACTAAAGCTATTTTTAGTCTGATACTTTTGCTTCATACTTCAAAATTTAAAGTTTAAAACCGGAGGTGGCTGGATTTTATTGGAATATCTACAGAGGCTCATTTTCAGCATCACTCCAGTTGCAAATTTTGCCAATCCAAGTTTGTGGTGTTAAAGTGCTAACTGATCATTTGTGCAGTTACGTTGGCACAGCTGAAAATTGTTGCACTTAAAATTGGTCTTTATTTGGCTTGCTGAGTATCTGGAGCACTTTTGCGTTCAGTTTAATTAAAAATGGCCTGAAAAACAAGAAATTTGACTGAAACCTGTAAATCTAATCTTGATTGAATTTTATTGAAGCCAGTTTTGTCTGACAAAGCAATGACCCAAAGCTTGGCTCCAAAACATGCAAGAACTATTTAGGGAAGAAGCAGTCAGATGGTATTCTGTCTATAATGGACAGGCCGGCACAATCACCAGATCTCGACCCTGTTTAGCTTTAGTGGGATCAGTTTGAGGTGATATTTCCTCAGATTATCTCAACAAATTAGCAGCTTAACAGCCAAAGGACATTTTTTTTGGGTGACCCCAAATTTTTGAGTGGGGGTAGTGTGTCTGATCAAATTTGACTTGTAAATCCACATACCAGCAGCTACATAATGTAGTTAGATATATATCAGAAACTATAAAAGTGGCACTCGGTGTCACATTGACAGCTTGATTTGTCATTCACAATTGTGTTTGTTTTTAAGGAGAACAATTTGCTTGTGTAGCCTACAAACCTTGCAAATCTACTCAGCACATTAGAATACATCATTTACCTATCGTCAATCGTGACAACGAAGTTACCATGTTCTACTGATGAGACAAATATTCTTGTATCAAGAGACCACTTTCCAGAGACACTCGGCTACTGCAGTCCTCAGAGCTGCGTCACGATGGACAGGATCTTGCTGGGAGTCTTGGTTCTCTCAGGTCAGTGACGTAATGTTTCCAATCTGGTATTAAATGCTTTTAAACAAAGCAACACTGAAGGTCGAAAAACAATTAAATCTCTATTATGTTCCAGACCTGCTCATCCTCTCTTCCTGCCTCCGTCTTCAGCCCGTCTACCACTTTGTCAATCAATCTCTGAATTGGACTGAAGCTCAGTCCTACTGCAGACAGACCCACACTGACTTGGCATCCGTTCTAAGCTCAGAAGAAAAGAACCGATTCATGAGCACTCTTTCGTCCGCCGGTCATAGCGCTGACATCTGGATCGGTCTGTTCGATGAAATCGACTGGAGATGGTCCGACGGCTTCACGGGGAGCGGCGCCGACTACAGACACTGGGACACTTCTAGATATGAACCAACTTTCCACTACTCCGTTGAGTTCTGCGTGATGTTCACATACTATGGGGAGTGGTATGATGTCAGTTGCTCACAGAATCGCCCGTTTGTGTGCTACAAAGGTTAACAATATTATATATGACACATCCTTCTTAAAACTTTTTTATGAAATGCAGAACTTCTGCTCACCTTTGTCCTCTATTCCCTTTAACTGCAGGCTCGCAGTTGGTCCCTGAATTTGTGTTTGTGAATCTACCAACGAGCTGGTCCAGTGCTCAGACGTACTGCAGAAACAACTTCATAGACCTCGCTACCATAAAAAACGATGCAGACAACAAGCGTGTTCAGAACCAGTTGCCTGGTTCTTACTATCCATGGATTGGTTTATATAGAGATCCAAATTTTAACTGGTCTGACGGGAGCAGCGTCGAATTTACCAGCTGGGACTCTGTTATGAATCCGCTTGGCTCAAAGACAGTCATTTGTGGCGTTACATCTTCTGCAAGATCAGGAAATTGGAAGTTTTTGCCCTGTGAAACAAAATTACCTTTTGTCTGTTATGGCCCTCCTGGTGAGTGTTTTTCTTCTTTTCTTTCAGCTGAAAGGAGAATTTGAGGAAGAATTGGGGATAATTAGGATTTGTTTTGACCAGATTTTAGTCATTTAAGAACAATTATCTCTCTATGCTGAGTTCTGTCTTATACTTTCTAGTTAAAAAATGCCATTTATATGCTTTGAAAATTCATTATATTTAATCAGTTAATCACTCACCTAAATTATGCAGGTCAGCTTTTAGTGACAAAAACAGAGTTGTTTTTTCCATTTGGACTTTCTGCAAGTCAGTTTCAATATCTTGATCTAACCAGGGGTAATTAGGAATGTATTTACAATGCAGTAATGAAGTGAATGGCTTTATCATTTGTTTCTTATATCTGAATTGACATATACAGCAGCAATGCATAACTAAGTTAAAATACCATGTTTTCTCTCTGAGTTTGGACTGACTCCTTGATACGGGGGTTTGCAATTTAATATGGTTTCCTCTTCCTGGTGGGACACGCCTGGAAAGTCTCCAGGTTGCAAGGAGGCGTACTGATCAATGCCCTGATCATCTTAACTAAGACTTTTCAGTTTATAGAAGGCGGTTTTTACCCTAAATGTGAGGCCCAGTACCAGCCCCCCAATAAAGGAAGCTAATTTCTGCCTCTTCTATCCAGGATCTATTTTTTTTGAAAACGTGACACAGAAGTTCAGCTCATTTACTAAAGTGAAACTTACTTACATATCAATGCATTTTATACTCATTTATTAAGTTGTATAAACATGTTTTTGAAATGGACACTCAACCTATTGCTGTATTTCTTATTTCAAATCAGTAATGAAACAGACTGTGAAGATAAGACTTCGCACCGACAACTCCGTGGATCTGAATGACCCTGTTTTGAGGGAAAATATCCTGACAAAGGCAAGTTTGGAATGAAAATTATTTTACACCTCAGATGAGGCAAAATCTGATCTGTAAATGTTAAGATCTGTTTTATTTCTTTTTTTTTCTTTTTTTTTTTTTTTACAAACTAATATATCTCAGATTAGAGGAAAATCCAATCTGATCCAAAAATTGAGAAAACTGTACTTTTTAAAGGCCTTGAAATTTTGTCTTACAGCTCCAGAATCGACTGCAAGAGACCGGAGTGCGTGGATTCATCCTGAAGTGGACAAAAAAGCCTGATGGAAAAGTTTTCCAAAAGGAAATTAAACACATCTAGAGATGATATGCCGGTTGAAATAAATATAATATTGATCATTCTAAGTAAGTAAAATATTTGCTTCTATAAAAATCTATTATGGTAAGTGTGTGAAATACATCCAAATGATGTGACCACAATATATCCTTAATCTGCAAGTGTAAGCATCTTGAATAGTGTGGTGGTTGAATATTACATGAAGTAATGTTCTGTAGACTCTCCGGTTCGGTGCTCGACTGGTTTGAATCTTACTTAAAGAACAGCATTTCTTTGTTTCAATTGGAAATTTCTCATCAAAGAGGTCAAAGGTCACATGCAGGGTACTCCAAGGTTCAATCCTAGGACCCCTCTTATTCAATATTTATATTCTCCCATTAGCTCAGGTTATAACAGGAAACAATATTAGGTACCACAACTATGCGGATGATACTCAGCTCTACATTATGATGTCACCAGGTGACTCTGAACCCATCCAATCACTGAATAAATGTTTAGAACAGATAAATGTGTGGATGTGCCAAAACTTTTTCCAGCTGAACAGAAACAAAACTGAAGTCATTATTTTTGGACCTAAAGATCTAGAGTCAATGCACAGCTTCAGTTATTACAACTAAAACTAGCGATCAGCCCGAAACCTGGGAGTAGTGATGGACTCGGACTTGAACCTTGCGAACCACATAAAGATGATTACAAAGTCAGCCTTCTATCATCTGAAGAACATCTCCAGGATTAGATTAATATGTAACAATGTATTGTTTATTCTATGTTGCATGACTTTGTTTTTGTGCTCATGATGTAAAGCACTTTGAAATGCTTTGCTGGTGAAATGTGCTTTAGAAATAAAATTTGATTTGATTTGATTTTAGAAAGAATATTAGTTAATTAGTTAGTTAAGACCTGGAGCAGGAAAATACTTTTTTCTCAGCCTTCATGCTATGTTTTTAAATAAGCCAATAGCCGATAGTTATGCAAGCAACTATTTCATCTGTAACATGAAAAGTGAAACGAGTTTACATAGAAATGGAGGTGGTGGTGTGTTATTTATCGAGGTGTCCAAGTGCAAAAAAAATGCTTTTCTTGTCCTATTCTTAATATGTAGCTGTTGTGTTTATTGTTTTGTAAGAGGCTGTCTCCGTAGCAACAAGATACATTTCACTTTGTCACATGTCTCATATTTGAGTCATTTCCTTAGATGTTCCAAAATTATTAGAGGTGAATTTTTTTTTTTATAGTTTAAGCATCAAAAAAAACATACTGCAACAATTTTATAAATGCTGCTTATATTTCAACAAATGTGTTTTACAATGGACATTGTGTCTTGCTTGATATTTCTGCGTCCATGAAGCAGCGTTCATTGACTTGAATAAATGTACTTTTCTCTGCTCACAAGTTTTTTTCCCCCTGTATTTTACAGCTTCCAGGAAAGCTGCTATTGTTATAAAAATATATACATATATTAAAGTGCTATAATCTAAAAACTGCAGATGATGTCTCATTAAGATTCTGGGTAACATCTTTGTCAAATTATTTCTGGTTAATTACTGTATGCTAATTTAGTAGATGCTGGGTTAACATAATACCAATACTTTCTAATGCACAACATACACAACTCAGAATTGCGAAATACTATGTTATTCATGATTGAAAAGCAGACATACACAATTACATTATATCATTAATACATGACATATAATGCATAACTGAAATATCAATTCAGTGGGGACATTATGGGTGACATCAGTAGCACATACAAAAAAAAAAAAATGGGTCACGAAAAAACATGTACAACACAGTCTTTTTTAGAGGGTGGGGGTAAATAAATTTGTCTTCTTCTCAGTCCTTTTCCAGATAAATGCATTCCTCTGTACGTCTAAATACACCATTATGATAAAGAGAAAAATGTATCTATCCTCTTTTTGGAAAACGTTTGTTTTTCTAATTTCAAAACAAACCAGAAATGAAATGGTGGTTCTTTGAAAATGACAAATTTCTTACAGCAGATATTTATACAAAATATAAGCCTATTTTTTCAAAAGCTTATGTAGCTTCAGTTGCCCTGTAAAAACACAGACAAAAAGTGTTTCTACAAGTGTTTATTCATTCATTATTCATTGTTCATATATATATAAATATATAAGGGGAAAATATGACATTTAAAATTCCTAAAATGAATACAGTTATGCATTTGACTGCATGTTAATGTAGCTTAAACTATTTAGAAAAGATGTTAGTTGCTAGGATTGTGTTTGAGACTAATATTTCATTACAATCACTGTCAATCTGTGTTTCTAGACATGATAAATCCCATCAAAAATATTTCAGATATGGCATTTTCTAAAAATCAACTTGAAAACGTGTCATTGCTGGAGAACCACCTTGCAGCAGGGGGAGTACTTGGACCAAAAATCAGCTCCAGACTCTCTGGGAAAGATCCACTTCCCAGTTGCCTAACAGCATTCTGCACGCAGCCTGTTTCAAGACAAATAATGAAGCAAAACAATTAACTAGCAATGGAAGATGTGATAAATTCATTTAATTTTTTTATTATTGACTAGTAAATTGCTCCTAGACCTGTGTGTTTTACATCGAGACAAGTCATGGCGTGTTTGTTAGTATGGCTCATTCCAGGCACAGGGCAAAGCGCTTGAATCTGTTCAGAACTATGAAGGAGGGAGAAATAAGTTTAAACTGATTTTCTTTAAACTTTTGGTTACTAAAGTGTGACTTTCCCGTCTTTTGTCCTCACTGGCATCTTTATCAGATATGCTCAGGATCCCTTTCAGTTTTATGACTGTAACCCAGAACCAGAGAACCGATTTTCTGAATTATCATTTCAACTGTTTCTAAGACAGTGTTTCTCAACCTTTTTTTGGGCCAGAGCACCCTAATCCATTAGCCAGGACCCCTTCAAATGAGAAGAGCTGCTACTACTACTGTTGATACTGTGACTTGTGTTGCATCTGAATTTATCAATAAAAAATGATTTCTTTGAGCACATCAATGAAGGACAAACGGATTTATTACTTTCTTAGGAAACAAAAATGGCACAAGAATAAAAGCTATGTACTGCGCTTCAAGAGATTTAAATTTATTCTTTTAAAAAGCAGCCAAAATTGAATTTAAATTAGATACACCAAATTTCAGCCAATCAGAACAGCTAGAAATTTTAACTAACTATTATATTATATATATATATAAACTTTAACTAACTATTATAAGAAGAAACCAACCAGAAACAGCCAGTAAGCAATCATCCACGTTTCAAGTAAACAACAGCCCATCAGAGATGCCAAATAATGAACAAAATAATTGTAACGTAAAACAATCGGCGACTTAAGAACAGAGAACGGAGAAGGACTTTTACGCTCATTTTCAAAGAAAATTCATTTGAAAAACTAATGGGAACCCTGCGACTGGTGTCTTTCTGCCGGTTTCTATACTTCGGGTTGCAGATAAGTAAATTTCAGCCTAAATGTGTGGCATATCTAGTTCACATGCTGCCCCAGCGAGAGGTGCAAAAAAAGCTTGGTCTGAACTCTGTCTTTTGCCTCGGTTCTTGCATTAGATTTAACGAGCGAGGCTAAGCTATTGCGTCTGTGATGCCTCTATGCCAGGACCACCTGCAGCACTGCAGCACCTCCGTCTCTGTGGCGCAATCGGTTAGCGCATTCGGCTGTTAACTGAAAGGTTGGTGGTTCGAGCCCACCCAGGGACGTGCATGTTTACTACAGTGAAGTCAGTGGATGTTTCCAAGCTGATTATCCCTTTTAGTTGGACATTTTCCATTTATGCTCTCCGATTTTGAAAATTTCGCTTTTGAAAGGTTCGCTTCAGTACGGTTTCGCTGCATGGAAGAGACATTGACCAAAGGTAACTTTTGGAGCGCTTTATCTTTTGACCTTCAAACATTGGTAAGGACAGTATAGAAATCTAGTCTGTTTGGCAAGGAAAACATGGAAAACAGTGTTTGAGTTTGAAGCAATTCCCCATCATCTTACCACCGAACACTGTCTTACCACCGAACAGTGTCTTACCACCGAACACTGTCTTACCACCGAACACTGTCTTGCATTGGATTTGACAAGCGAGGCTAAGCTATTGCGCCTGTGATGCCTCTATGCCAGGACCACCTGCAGTACTGCAGCACCTCCGTCTCTGTGGCGCAATAGGTTAGCGCATTCGGCTGTTAACTGAAAGGTTGGTGGTTCAAGCCCACCCAGGGACGTGCATGTTTACACCAGAAAAGTCAGTGGATGTTTCCAAGCATATTATCTCTTTTAGTTGGACATTTTCCATTTATGCTCTCCGATTTTGAAAATTTCGCTTTTGAAAGGTTCGCTTCAGTATGGTTTCGCTGCATGGAAGAGACATAGACCAAAGGTAACTTTTGGAGCGCTTTATCTTTTGACCTTCAAACATTGGTAAGGACAGTATAGAAATCTAGTCTGTTTGGCAAGGAAAACATGGAAAACAGTGTTTGAGTTTGAAGCAATTCCCCATCATCTTACCACCGAACACTGTCTTACCACCGAACAGTGTCTTACCACCGAACACTGTCTTACCACCGAACACTGTCTTGCATTGGATTTGACGAGCGAGGCTAAGCTATTGCGCCTGTGATGCCTCTATGCCAGGACCACCTGCAGTACTGCAGCACCTCCGTCTCTGTGGCGCAATAGGTTAGCGCATTCGGCTGTTAACTGAAAGGTTGGTGGTTCAAGCCCACCCAGGGACGTGCATGTTTACACCAGAAAAGTCAGTGGATGTTTCCAAGCTTATTATCTCTTTTAGTTGGACATTTTCCATTTATGCTCTCCGATTTTGAAAATTTCGCTTTGAAAGGTTCGCTTCAGTATGGTTTCGCTGCATGGAAGAGACATAGACCAAAGGTAACTTTTGGAGCGCTTTATCTTTTGACCTTCAAACATTGGTAAGGACAGTATAGAAATCTAGTCTGTTTGGCAAGGAAAACATGGAAAACAGTGTTTGAGTTTGAAGCAATTCCCCATCATCTTACCACCGAACACTGTCTTACCACCGAACAGTGTCTTACCACCGAACACTGTCTTACCACCGAACACTGTCTTGCATTGGATTTGACGAGCGAGGCTAAGCTATTGCGCCTGTGATGCCTCTATGCCAGGACCACCTGCAGTACTGCAGCACCTCCGTCTCTGTGGCGCAATAGGTTAGCGCATTCGGCTGTTAACTGAAAGGTTGGTGGTTCAAGCCCACCCAGGGACGTGCATGTTTACACCAGAAAAGTCAGTGGATGTTTCCAAGCTTATTATCTCTTTAGTTGGACATTTTCCATTTATGCTCTCCGATTTGAAAATTTCGCTTTTGAAAGGTTCGCTTCAGTATGGTTTCGCTGCATGGAAGAGACATAGACCAAAGGTAACTTTTGGAGCGCTTTATCTTTTGACCTTCAACATTGGTAAGGACAGTATAGAAATCTAGTCTGTTTGGCAAGGAAACATGGAAAACAGTGTTTGAGTTTGAAGCAATTCCCATCATCTTACCACCGAACACTGT